GCGAAAAATGCAAATCAGCATCTTTGAAATCAGCTGTAAACCCACGCTGTAAACGTCGCTGTGGCGCCCCCTCGGGGATCTTCCGTTCATTTATGAGTAAGTTGACTCGTAAGCAAGGCCTGACTAATGGCGCGAATAGGTTAAGTTACAGTAGTTGCAAGAGTTCCAAAGAAAACGTTGAAATTTCCAGCACTTGGAGCTGATTTTCAATGAAAATTATACACGAGCCACTGCGGTATGCCCATGAGGAAGGGCATACAGATGTGTGTTATTCTGCAGATGGAGAGTAAGGGTTTGTTGTCAGTAGGAGCCAAGTGATTAAACAACGTTTTTTCATAAAATTCAGGCACTTTATCACCTGTGGAGCTGATGGAGATGTTCGGATATGGTCAGTGGATGAAATGGACGATCCTAATCACACATGTGTGGGCGAATTGGCTCTAAGCGTGTGCCAGAAGGATGATAAAATTTACACTTCCACTGGAAACAATGAAATTCAAATTCTCACACATCCAGCAGGGGAACGAGATGGAGTGTTCACCAGGGCTACAGATCCTTTTAATCAGATTGTGATTTGCAGGAACAAGAACGTATGTATGTGTTGATAGCTAGGGGGCCTAAATGTTTCTTGAGGCTTATCCAGCTTTAACGCGGTGTTTTTATTGTTATGATATATTGGAGCTAGATATTTTGATTCTTAAAAAGCTTATTTTTTTTTATTTTCTTTATTGCATTTTCACTGAAAACATTGATTTGTTTTGATTGAGATAAAATCTGCTTCTTGAGATAAAAAAAATTGAGTCTTGAGGTAAAATTTAAAACATTTTATCAGCTGTAAACACTGTGCCACACAAGGCAGTTTCAGCCGAAGAAATGTTAACAGATTTATTCCGTTTTGTATAGTTTGCAGCCGTAGCAGGCGAAGGCATGTCTGTAACTCTAATGGACCTGGATACTTCAGTAGCAAAGATTTCTCTTAGTGATTTAGGAGCGCCTTGTTTAAGTGTAGCGATTTGTCCCAATGCGGCCAAACTGGCTGCCTCCACTGGAGACGGCAAGTTGCGCATTTGGGACGTGGAATCCTACTCTCTCCTCAAGGAAATATCCTGTTTTCCTAAAGTCAATAGCTTTGCAAACGCAAAAAATTTGTGTAAGTTCATGCAACGCCAGAGTCAATAAATATTCAATAAACGTGCCAACAGGTCGTCTGGATTTTGAACCAAAGCACGGCGAACTGTTGGCTTATCCCCTGAAGAACGTGGTGAAACTTCTCAACACAACTACATGGGCGGAAGAGGAACTAAAATGTCCAGAGGTGGATGCAGATTTCTCAGTGTTACAGTATTCAAGCTGCGGCAAGTATTTAGCAGCAGCGTCACTTAAAGGCGACTTTGTGATATGGGAGACATTAAAGAAAACAGTCTTTCAGACTTCAAAGCACGATGCATCGAATGCTATTTGTGGACTTATGTGGAATCCTAAAGGTAACAGCCTGGAAGCTAATAAAAGCCAATAGTAGGTTTTGTTTAATTTTTAGGAAATGGGGAAATTGTCTATACAGACGTGGAAGGCCAGGTCAGTATCATGTCCAACTGCTCAAGACTGCAGCCTGTCGATAACGAGGAAATATCGACCGAAGTGGAAAAGGTTGACGAAAACGGCTTTACAGAGAACGATGTCGATTTTGGCGATTTTCTGGAAGAGGAAAAGAACGAAGACACTGATCGAGCCTCGCCGGAGGTTCTAGATTTTGGCACCCTTGACAGTCCTGATCCCGATGCACGCAGCGTGGATGAAATAGGTCATAAATAATTCATCTAAATAATATACATATAGATACTAAACTCTAGATTTTCAGCTTCATCTCCAGGCAGCACGAGAAGACCGCGAACTCCAGACGTTCCAATGCAGTCGCCCTTTATGCCTACATCCACTCCAGAGCATCTGGATCCTCGATACCTCTGCTGGAATGATGTGGGAGTCGTAAAAGGCTACGGGCTAAACTCGGGAGACGAAGCAAACCAGAAAACCATTGAAGTCGAGTTCCATGACTCCACTTTCCATAACAGCATGATGCTGCAGAATTTTCAGGACTACACCATGGGTTCAATTGGAAAAGGAGCTCTAGCGGTAGCCAATTCTAGGTTAATCAAGCTTTTTTGGTTTGAATGTTCATCTATAACTTTCGTATTGAAATTGCAGCCAAATCATGGTGATTCCGCTGGCAGTCAGCAACAAAGAGTGGTACTTAAAAGTGGAGGAGTATGAGGAAATAGTGCTGGTGGCAGCCTCCGAAAGTATGGTCTGTTTTGCCATGTCCAACTATCTAGTGAGAGTTGCCACGATTTTTGGGACCCAGAGAGGGATAGTGTCCGTGCCTGGACCTCCTGTGTGTATGGCGGCGTTCAAAAATGCCTTACTAGTCGCTTATCATGCCGGTCCAGTGAGAAACAGCGACCAAAACATCATTATAAAATTATTCAAGTTTGAAGGTGAGTTGATATCCTTAGCTTATGTGAATTCTCCAAGCTTTTTCAGGCCTGAACGTGGACTGTTTCGAGCTGGGGTCGGCTTTAGGCCCGGAATCTACGTTATATTGGCTAGGATTTTCTGATATTGGCACACCAGGAATGATGGATTCTTTGGGGATGCTCAGTCTTTTCCCTCCAAAGTGCAACACTTGGATTCCTTTCTGTGATACCACTAAGCATGTAAGGACGAAGGTTCCAAGTGTTGTTAAAGGGGGTTTACAACGTTTTTTACAGCGTAGAAGTCCAGGCGATGGATTTTTCGTAACAACAATATTCGAATCGAATCAAACAATTGGCGCAATCCGTTGTAAAGGGACGGTTTATCCGGGCTTCGTACCGCGGCCCACGGTGTGTGAGCTCGCCATTGAGCCCCCATTTGCTGAAACCGCGACCGATAAAACCCAGATGGAAATGAACATGTTCACGTGGTCGAACTTGAACATCCAGGATACGGAGCGGAAATATAAAGAGACTGCCTTGAAAATTTTTGCGGTGAGATTTAATCCAAAAGATGAAAGCCTTTGGAAAATTGAACGGGGCATTGTTTTAGCTGGCCTGCAAAAATGACCTGGATCAAAGAGCGTTTGAGTTCATGCAACTGGTGGGCAATCAACAGATTTTGAACTTGGGGCTGAAATATACCACGAAATTGAACAAGAGGAGACTGAGTGAGAAGCTGATGGATTTGGCTGCAGTGCTGCAGGAAGAGAATGGAGATGCCGATGACACTCCCAAGTCGTTTCATAGCGTGGTTTCAACGACTGTAAGTGTGAGTGAAGCGGATTTTTTTTTGTTTTATTTGGGTTTTTCAGGAAATGCAAATGCCTGCGCAAGCAGTAATTAAGCCCAGAGTGGGGAAGCTGAGCATCTCGAAACTAACGCCCAAAACCAAGAAGACCAAACAAGAGGTAGGAAATGGGTTGTGTTTTATTTTGGCAATTTCAATCGGTTTTCTCTTGCAGGGAAGCCAGCAAGATTTTGAAACGAATGCGCCCATTAGCAATGAAAACAATCTTTCAGCGGTTAACAGTCAGGTAAATAGCACTTTTAAATGAAATTTTGCAACTAAAACCTACTTCGATTCAGGATTCGCTTTTCAGCGAAGATCAGTCGGTATCGGATGAAACTCTCAAGGCCTATGAAGTTGTAGAAGTACCGCGAAACCCGTTTTTAAAAAAGCAGCCAACAGAAAAGGCGAGAGACGACTTAAATGAGACCAAAAGTCTCACCCCAATATTTAATCCATTTTTGAAGAAGGCAAAGAAAACGGGCAGCGCTAGTCCCTTGAGTTTAACAGACAAGAATGCGGGAATCAGTTATGAAACGCCCGACGCCAAACAGAAAAGTACTGAGGTAGGTTTTAATGCGAAAATTTCAAATAGTTTTCTTTGGCTGTGAAAAGAATTGCCAGTATTTTTTGTATGTTGCTCGAAAAATATGCTTTAGGTTGGAGAGAAGAGAAGATTGGCGGACGCCGAATCGGAAAAGCCAGTAGGAAAACAGCGAAAACTCAACCAATTTATGTTTTCCAAACGACAATGAAAATGAGTAAGTAAGTGGGTACAGAATAAATTATTTTTTTACTATCGTTTAATCTTTGATATTATGGAAGACAAGGGTGGAAAAAATAAACGGTGAACCTTGTGAACGGCTTTCTTTATTAATAATGATGATAATAATGTATTACTATGTTTATTCAGCATCAACATCAAATTTCATGCTCTCACCCCCAGTAATGCCTCCTGCTATAACGTCGCCCTTCGTAACAGGCCCCATTCCAGGCGGAGATCCTGTTATGATCACATCGTTCGGTTCAAGCGTAATATATTCGGAAATGTACGAAATCAGGAAGGGAATATTGAAAACTAAGTCGTCGGTGTTGCCTAAAATGCCCCCAATTCATCAAAACTCTTAAAAAGTGGGACGCATTTGTTAATTTATTACCGCGCTGTTTTTCCACTCCATTTACAGTGCACCATAATTCCACATTGTGCGGATCGGGTATTTGTGATTTTGGAATGAATTTGCTCACAGGACAGGCTGTATCAAAACCTTTTCCTAATGTCCAACTTCCACCAGTTTGTCTGGCTAGGCCCTTGAAAGAAATACTTAGAAGTTATCGTTTATAGCAATTATCAAGGTTTGTATGGCCAATTCTGTTCGGAATTGAATTTGAGAGAGTTTATGAGCAGAGTGATGGTCCTAGCTAGACCTGAATATATATTTTTTTAATAATTAATGGGTACAACGTACAAGTCTGCAAGTAGCGGTCATGTCCAAAGCTAGACAGTATCCACCAACTATATCCATTGCCTTGCATTCAGACACTTTTCTCCCATGTTTTCCTATTACCACTCCCAGTTCGATTTCTTCGTTAACAGAGAAACCTTTAGGTATCTAAAATCCAGCACGAAAGTAAGATAAAATGATTGAAAGCATATTTTAAATCTTCGTTAAAGAGGGTGTCTTCCGTGTGCTGATGTGGGGCATAATAATGCTAATTTTAATTTGAGGCTTAAGCTTAATGTAACATACAATTATTTTTTGTCCTTCCGTTATATAAGAACTAGGGGGCTTCATGAAAAAGTCTGGAACATCTGGCGTTGATCTGTTAAGGACTTTTAGAAGAGACCTAAAAAAGTTTTAAATCTTAGCTAAAATGTCATGAATGTTTTATGAGAAAGTAGCCCATTATGGAAATTTAGTGATAACATATTTTGTTTCAGTATTTTTGTTATATTTCAGAAACTTTTTGAGATAGAGATCTGAAATTTGGTATGCAAATGAATAAAAGCTCTTGCATCATAAAATACATTTTTTTCTCTAAAACGCGTTAAATCGACGATTTGGAATAAGAGAACTTTTTGTTTAGAAATCATTCGTTCAAATCGCCTTTTTCTTACTGCCGTAAATTTTGGGGTTGATTGGGACTTTTTGCAACTAGCAATTGTGTGCTACCCAAAAAAGTGCTCTAATTCGAGCCATTTTAGAGAAAACATAAATTTTATCATGAGAAACACCAGTTTGCAACAAAAAGAAGCGAACGTTGTTCCATCATACATATAACGCATTTTTTCTCAAAAACCTTCTAAATTAGCGCGTTTGACCAAGAGTACGTTTTTCTGATGAAAGCAACGACTCGTCAAGAACTAAATTTAAATATCGATTTTGTTCAGTGGCGGAGAAGTTAGGGGCGAAATAATACCAATCAACCCCAAAATCTTCACCAATCACACATTCATGGAAATTATCGCGCATTGAATAGCTGTAAGTATTAGTAACATGAGTAGAAAAGTTCAGTTGTTTATCTGAAATAGTTCCTCAAATATTGTCGAAAACCCCAAAGCAAAGAAAAGTTTGGACATTATTTAAAAAGCAGTGCGGTTTTATAAAAACAATTTTTTAAATTGAGAGGCTTAAATTGAAACCTCATTTAAATAAATTTACGGTGGGCGTGACAATTTTCTTTATTCTTTTCCGATGAGAAAATGCTTTAGAAACAAAACTGTATAGATTTCCTACCTATAATTAGCGGCCACGCCAATGCATTTGGTCCCATGTTGGACAAAGTTCTCCATAGAAAGATCAGCTGAAACAACTCGTTTCAGTCAGTCAGTTTCATACAATCGGAGGCAAAAAAGCAGGGTTTATATATTTTTTTATTAGAAACAGCAAAACATTACTTGTTGCTCTAGTTACATAATCGGAAAATAGCCTAACTTACAATCCATATGGCTTTTAACACACACTCTAAACGATCGCAATCTGAAATATTATCGCTAACCTTTGTCATTGAGAATAAACAAGTTGATGTTGATTTTGACCATAAAACATTCTCTAAATCTGGTTTAATTAATGGCGCGAAATATTTGAATCAATCCGAGCTTTGTTGGTGTTTCATGGGGGATAGATTTTAGACGATGAGTAACACTGCGTGTCAGATGTCACATCAGTCGTCATTCTCCTCGGCACGGCACAATCCGCCATCGCCAAAAAGAAGTGTTTCCTCTAACTTTTTCGGTGAAATCACGTTGGAAAATACTCTTTTCGCGTGGAAAATTATGTGAAAGTGAACATTCTATGTGCTCGGATTAGGTGGTGCGTGGAAAACTTTAGTGCAACTTGGATAACCTAGAAAATTACTTGCAAAATGATCAAAATGGAAACGGATAAGATCGAAGACGTTACTGGCAACAACACACAGGTAAACTTGCTATGGATCTTGTTTTGTAGGGTTTAAACAGAGAGTTATTTATATTTAATTGCCGAATACATTCTAGGAAATACATGAACATCATTTACGTAGGCAACGTTTTTTTGTAAAAGTTAATTGTCATCTATCTGTCAACCTTAGCCTTACCTTCTGCTTCCTATTCCAAGAAACTTTCTTTTTTTGTTTTAATCAGTTAATCATATTTTCTCCTCATCAATTGCGGTTAATTGCGTGTAAGTACCAACTCGAAATTAGTCAGCTTTGATTTCTTTCTTCTCACTTGTTTACCAAGAGCTCCTGTTCAGATAGTTAATTGTTGCAATAAGTAGCACACAACTATTGTCCTCTAACTGTACTTTTAGTTTTTAGAAGCCTACAAGACAACAATCTCATGGCACAGTGATATTCTTTGTTAGCGCAATTGTCTTTTGTCTCAACACATATTTTACTTTCATTGCTTCAGTTTTGGGGTAAATCGATATGTATTGCCACTGTTCACTGCTATTTAGTAGGTAGCTGTTTGTCAGCTCCTAATTCAATTTATTGGCTTCTTCAAGCGTGTCATTTATTCACGAAATGTTAACAGTCCTTTGTCAGGAGCGGATTTAGAGGTACATTACCCCAACCAGCTCCTATGAGCTTAAGTGAAAGAAAAGTTGCCTTTTTGAAAGTTTGAAGCCTCACTACTTTCAGTAGCTATAATTGCTTTAAAACCTAAAAAAATTGGGTACGAAATTGGATTTGATCCGATCCCAATGCCTAAAGTTGTAGTATTTAGGCTTATTGCAAGCATGAAATACTTGATAGCGTTTCTTTTTTCGTTGTCTCTTAGTGGTTGTCGAGTCAATTTGTTCCATTCAGTTGTTTGAACAGCCACGCAATGGGTTTAAAAAGCGCCTTCAGTCCCCAAAATCCGTCTAGGTATAAATATTCGTAATGGATCTAACTTGAAACCAGGGGTCCGCCCCTGGTTTGTTTAACATGTTATTTATATTTTTTTGACTACAATGGTATCTTTTATAGAAGCTTTCTCAAAGTCTGTGTCATTTGAAGAACCGAACATTGTTGCTAATTATTATCCACACTTAATGGCGTTGCAATTTAGTTGCAGATTTATTTATTTTTGCATAATTGCCATTTGATTATGACCTTTTGTTCTTATTATAATTAGAGAAAATTGCTATAAAAGCGTTTTTCTTAATTAACTGGCGTTTGTAAATAAATCTACAGTTAGATAGTGAAACAAAGATTGTCCTGAACTGAAACCAGTTGAACCGATATATGCATAATTACAATGTAATTATTGGATAAGCAGCATTGATTTTACGTTGATTAGGGAATCAATAATGCCAATTAGAATTGAACAGTGAAACACCATTTCCATGTACTATGGGAAAGTGTTTTGGCTTTACTATAGTTTGGCTACAAAACACAAAAAAACCGCCAGTTAAACCTGAAGACTGTTGTATTACTGCACCAATGATTCATTTTTGATCATGTAAATGTATCTAACATTCTAAATGGACTGGTTTTGTAGATAAAGATAATAGTTGAATCATTAATAGTTTGTGTCGCTATTGGTTTGATGGCTAACTGAGGTAATTTCCACAGGTTTTGGGTAATTTAGTCGATTATTATAACTTCACCATCGTCTAAAGAAGGTACTCGAATTAGTAAAAAAGAAAGTGTCCTTTTCCTTCATCATATCACGTCCTACTAAACACAAAATCGCTTTCTCCTGGTTACCTTGAATGGAAACATAGAGTATTGCATAAAGGACTAATTGTGATACATTTTAAATCATTTTAGAACTGGATGTTTTCGTTGTTGCATTTTTGTCGTCTTCAAGTCTAACTCCAAATAAATCATTCAAAAGCACTTTGTGCTAAACGTCCATTATTTTTCAAAGGATTACTGGATTATTCCAAGGTTTTCATCTATTTGCTATAAAGATTGAATAATTCGATATGTAAAAATGAGAATCCACCGAAGAAAAAATTGCGCTTCTTCATCCCATTGCTTTTGGCTTGCAGAATGACTTGCCTACTACTACTTAGTTATTAATTAATGATTGAGTGATAAAAAGTTGTAGATACGATCTCGATTAATTTTTATGTAACCATTTTTACCAAAAATGCACATCAACAGCCGATCTATATCGTTAACCTTAGCCTCGCGCCACTAGGAAAAGCTCAAGTGAACAAATCCCTATAAAAACAACACCTAAATAGAGATATGGCATTTATAAAATAGACTATAATTGCGCCGTCCTTGCTAATATTTTAACGATAAATTATTAGAACAGATTGACCAATTATGGACTTTTGCTTCTGTTAATAATGAATCTTAAATGATAAATCAATTAATTGGCTACATTGACCCTTTTTTAATTTCCTTTTTATTGTGTGCTATGTATGGGTACGTCCCAACTAGGTGCAACTTTATGTTATATTTTTCTTAGGGGACCGGTAACTCTCTTTGTTGCCTTATAAATTGAATTACTATTGTTAATTAATGTTCACTATATTGCCATGTAACCGTCTGGATTGAGAATACATTTCTATTCGAAGTCGCTCTTCCATATATTTACAAGTGTTGCAATTAAAAAGTGCAGTTAATAATTTAGCTGTGAAATATAAACGAGGTTGCGACTGGTGATTGGCAATATTTTACGTCCATCTCCATTTTCGCGTGTGGTTTTATAGGGATTTTACACGTAATTTTTTTCTCAACTGTTCAAAGGAAGGTCACCGCACTAGGTGGTTGAATAGTAGTTTAGATTTATTTAAAAAAAATGGAAATATTAGCGGATCTTTTAAAGAAAAATCGCTTTGCGGAACTTGCCCGTTGATTTTGTAATGTCTTTTCCTAATGGCTTATTGAAGTTTATCATGTAGGCTTGATGTTTTATTGATTGAATCAGTGAATTAAATTCTCATTCCAGTCCGTCTTCTGTAGGCGACAAAAGTTGCTTCAATCGGTGTTAGAATTACTCCGTCTAGTTGTTGTAGCATAGAGAGAGAGCGAGATTTGTCGATGTAGAATATTGTGTTTGGCTGTTGTTAATAAGCTGTTTCTTATAAGTAGGTAATTGGAATATGTGTACTTTATACTCTTTTTTGTCCATTTCAGTACCCAATGACTGTGTTACCATACGACACATCTAGAAAAAAAGACTCGGCGTCGTCAGCGAATTTCGGCACGGAACGCGAGGCCTGTTTGCGATATTTTGAAAAATGGAGCGAAACAGATCAGGTCGAATTTGTGGAGAACCTTTTGACTCGCATGTGCCACTATCAACATGGTCACATCAATTCATACTTGAAACCCATGTTGCAAAGAGACTTTATTTCCTTGTTACCTAGTAAGTTTTTTCTCCTCTCATAAACCATATCTAATGAGTAACACACGTAACGATTACGATCAGTCGAATTTTTTCCTGCAGCTATTTCGTTTCTTTCTGGTTATCTATTTACGAGGCCAATTATCAAAAGCAACAGCTTTAATTACTCACGTTTGTTTTTTAATGGTTCTATTGGCACATCTAGACTTGAACCGAATTCGGGTCGATTCACTCGAGCAAATTTGGTCTTCATTCAACCGAAGTCTATTTTAAACCGCTGATTTTTGTAAATGTATCTTTAAATTCATAATGTGTTTTTTTCTTATTTTAGAAAAAGGTCTGGATCACGTAGCGGAGAATATTTTATCTTATCTTGACGCCGAGAGTCTAAAAAATGCCGAACTAGTCTGTAAGGAATGGTTTCGTGTGATATCAGAAGGAATGCTCTGGAAAAAATTGATAGAAAGAAAAGTTAGAACAATTTCTCTTTGGCGAGGGCTGGCCGAACGCAGAGGATGGTATTTAAGCGAAAAATCACTGAAATTTGCGCAAAAACCTAATAAATTTCCCCTTTCAGGATTCAGTACTTATTCAAACCGCGTCCTGGCGAAAATCATCGGCCACATAGTTTTTACCGTACATTATACCCGAAAATAATTAGAGATATAAGCAGCCTGGAGAACAATTGGCGTAATGGCAAGCACATTTTACAGAGGATCAATTGTCGATCGGAAAACAGTAAAGGCGTTTACTGTTTACAGTATGATGATCAGAAAATCGTTTCTGGATTAAGGGACAATACCATTAAAATATGGGACAGGACTACACTACAATGCACCAAAGTAATTTTTTCAGGGAAATTCACATCTATTAATAGTAATGCTGTTTTTAAGGTGCTCCTCAAAACTAGAGAGTTTGCTTTGTTAAAGCGGGGTCGTTGTTTTTACACCGATCCTTCAAAGCAAACTCTTTACCCGAATTAGTGTTTGCATCTTCAGAGCTAAACAACCTTGAAATGTTGATAATTTACTGATGAAACCATTGGTTTTAGGTGCTAATTGGACACACAGGGTCAGTACTTTGTCTCCAGTACGACGACAAAGTTATCATTAGTGGCAGTAGCGATGGTACAGTGCGCGTTTGGAACGTGCACACTGGGGAGATGGTAAATACTTTGATACATCATTGCGAAGCCGTTTTACATCTTAGGTTCAATAATGGAATGATGGTCACTTGTTCAAAGGTAATAACCGACCGCGAAATAAAATATGCGGAGTATGTGTTACTTTTGGTGTTTTTTCAGGATCGTTCCATAGCCGTTTGGGATATGGTTTCACAATCTGAAATAAGTATCCGAAGAGTTTTGGTTGGACATCGAGCGGCTGTAAACGTTGTAGATTTTGACGAGAAATATATTGTATCTGCCAGCGGAGACCGCACAATTAAAGTATGTTATTGAGTTGTCGACCGGCAAGGTTTGATTGTTCTCTTTAGGTTTGGAATACGTCAAATTGCGAATTTCTTCGTACGCTTAGTGGGCATAAAAGAGGCATTGCATGCTTGCAATATAGAGATAGATTGGTAGTTAGCGGCAGTTCAGATAACACTATAAGGTAAGTAATTTTCAGATTATCTAACACGAGGTAAATAATACATGTTTTAGATTATGGGATATAGAATGTGGAGTTTGTTTGCGAGTCTTAGAGGGTCATGAAGAGTTAGTTAGATGTATACGCTTTGATAGTAAACGAATCGTTAGTGGTGCATATGACGGAAAAATTAAAGTTTGGGACCTGCTTGCGGCTTTGGACCCACGCTCTTCGACTAGTTCTCTATGTCTACGAACACTAGTGGTAAGGACCTAAAAAAAAATACATTTTCTAGTCATTTTTTGAGGTTTGCTTTACTTTTACCCGTTTTTTAATTATTGCAGGAGCACAGCGGACGCGTATTTAGATTACAGTTCGACGAATTTCAAATTGTCAGCAGTTCGCACGATGACACGATTCTTATATGGGACTTTCTTCATTCGATTCCTGATCGGAACATGAGCAATGTCGGATGTGGAACTTCACCATCTTCACGTAAGCTATCCAATTTCTGCACCGAGCTATTTTTTACACATTTTTCTTTGCAGCTGTTTGGACTGATTTACACTTGGACTAAACTGGTTGTGCTAGTTGCTGTAGATTAAGAGAAACGTGATTTTAAAATGATCTGCATCCTGTGGATGTAAGTGTCGATAATGCCGACATGTGAGTGATTGAATAACTAGCTAAAATAATTGATATGTTTTAGTTAGTCTATTATAGATCTCTGGATTCGCCTTGGTTGATATTGTAAATCACCGTGAATGTAAGAAGTTGCCCATGTTGCAGTTTATACAGATTACATTTACCAGAGGTAATATCAGGAGATAACATTTCCACAGACACTATTGTTTCAGCAATAGTTGTTGTGAAAATGAATCTTATTTCGGCATTCCAATGGTGCAATATGGGCAACTTCGATCATGATCAGGTAATCAACCCAATAGCAGTCTCCAAAATAAAAAAAAAACCTCAAGTATAGTAAAACGTCTCAGCTAATTTGCATTACAAGATTCTGACATTTTTCCCAAATCTCTAACATTCAATTGAAAATGCATAATAAACACAGTTCAATTATGCTCTCTCAATAGTAATTATTGTTGCAACATACTCTTTAGTAGAAAGTCGCATTGTTTTCACTTGAAATTATTTTAATTTAATCCAAGATTTAGGCATTTGTTCATGTAAAGTACGTTTGTATATTTCCATGACATATCTGAGTTGAAAGTTGATTTATATCTATATAAAGATGTGTTTTATAATATTGCATAGGTTGGCGCTGATTTCAACTATAATTAAGTTTTACTTTATGTTGCGTAAGAGTAATTGTTGAAATTGACGTTGTTGAAATAGTGTCAATAATATCAGTCAAAAATAGAAAAAACTTTCATTCTCTTACATAGAACGGTGCTTCGAAAAATCAATTTAATTTCTTGGGACAAACGCTTTTCTAAGCAAAGCCATTAGAGTCTTTAATTTGTGTTAAATTGCTGGCAGTTCAAGCTGCAGCAGCGTTTTATACAATATTCCCATTGTCTTGTCTTGAGTGCTTTCTCAGTCACAGTAGTGATTTGAAGTGACTGAAAAAGCAACGTGATCAGGTTATTAGAAAATTTACGCAGCTCAAGACTTGTTGTGTAAGCCATTCTTTTCGGGTACTTCCCATTCAGAACATGTTTTCCTTCCAGCATATAGATGTTTTCTGCAAACAATGATTGTTCTTTCAAAAAAAGCTAATATATTTTTAATTTTTTCCGGGACATGTTACTAATTCATTGCTTAATTAGTATGTGGTGTGTAAGTGTAGATGTCGACATCGCAAAACTAGACCTAGAAAGCACTTATTTTAGGTTACTTTATTGATATGTATTATAACTATCAAGCTTCGAAAATATCAAAGTACAAATGGCTTTGAGTTTTCAGTAATTATCTAATATCGTATATATGACCCTTGCTATTGTATTTTACATAGCCTTTTTGACTGTGTGAAGCATCTCTCTTCCTAAGATGCCTTTTTTATTGCTCCAATTTAGTGGTTATGTAGATAATTACAGAAAAATCAACTTTTTTTAACTATACATAGAACACTCTAAATATCTACAGAAAAAATGAGCGTTTGAGTAGGGACTTTTTAAGAGATTCTCAACCTGATCACAGTCTTATGAGGTTGAGGTCTTTTGAATCGTTCATACATTGACACCAGTGGCAAGTGGTTTTCTGTACGTACTTAGAAAACGCGCTGTAAAACAATTTACGAACGAACTGAGCGTTCTAATTATAGCATTTCTGAAGTAAAACATTTCAATTGCTGAAATTATGCTAAAAAAAATAATTTTTTATCTCTAGAAATTGTTTCATTGTTTTTGTAATTCTACAATGAAATAAGATTACAACTTTTGGTTACACAATGTCATACTTATTATCCCCTTTTGAAACATCTTGTGCTGTGATATTTTAATGGAAAAAAATAAATAGTTTACCCTATTTAGTACATTATTTTCAAATACAAAGTGTCACAATTATCGATGGTCCTTTTCCAAGCCAACTGTTTGTGTATTTCATACAGTAAATGAGCTTATTAGCGTACAAACAGTATTTGAAACTTACTATTTCGGGCAACGTTCTTGCCGAACTGAAAACTGAGTTTTTGCCAAATATTGTACTAGTTTACAAAACAAAAAAACTATCTATTCAAGTGCTTTTGTGATAAATTTAAGATAAATGGGAATCCGTATTAGGAAATATTTTCTTTTGGTTCGATACGAACGCAGGAGGTAATTTTACTGGGTATTATCACTTGCTTCTAAGGCAACGAAAGAGTTTAAAACTAGAAGGTAAAAATGCAAAGACTTTTGTTAATTGTAGAATGTTTAGCAAATACAAATAGTTTTTTTTAAGTATTTAATTATTCGTTATACCTATTAAAGCAAACATTAATTGCTATTGTTCATTAAGTAACTCCTAGAATTTTCAATTAAAATTGGTCTAAGTAGGGTGGTTGGAAAATGTGGAAACTAAACTATATTGTTTGCTAGTTGTTGCGAAATTTTAAACAATGTCAAATACTTTTTATTTTATTCAAATTAATTTTTTTACCGATTTGGCAAGTTACTGCCGGCTGCGGCTTCAGGAATTGGTTTCAATATTTTCTAATCGACCATATAGCATTATGTGTGACTGTTTTGTTTATATATAACTATCTATGTACTAATTTGTAAACCTTTAAATTGTAAATATTTTCTATATTAAGTAATTAATTAGTTGTTTAATATAATTGTTTGCATTTAAATCCCCGTATTTTGCCACAAACACCGATCAGAGTAGCTTTTAATTGCTAATAAATCATGCAAACTATCGGAAATGTGAAACTGTTTGCAGAAAAGCGAACAAAATTAAAACGAGTTGAATTACACAAATAGGTTTTTATTGAAATGCAGTTAAATCGAAAAACATTAGCTTACAATAGGGAAAACCACACCGTTTACGTTGACGTATGCTTATGTACTAACTGAAAAATATCACATTTTTATAACCAAATGGTTAAAACAGTTTTTTTATAAATACACGTGAAGTATCGACAGTAATCACATGGGGATGGATAGCTTGAACCTTTTTTTGGCAAATTTGATAATGGGGATGTTATTTTGTCAAAATTAGAATACAAAATCATGCAAACCATTTGCCATTGAACCCCATATTTAGAACGTCAGTCGATAGGTTTTTATCACCCAATGCACTGATATTAATAACACGATTACGAGATAAATATCACTACAATAAAAACGTTGACAATTCATTAGTAAATATACACGAGAAGAGTTTCGTTTACAAACTCTGCTAGAAATTCATTTTTCAATGAGCTGGCATTACATGGCTACACCGTAATGAACACATTGTTTTAAAATGTTACAAGACGGGCCAAAGTAATATTGCACGTTTCCACCGCTATTTTGATAGGATATATTTAAAACAGAATGGGCAAGGAAAATAGGGAAAATAAATGCATTTTTTGGGGGTAATGTTACTTTGGCACTGAAGTCTATAAATTATGGCTCGCTCACTTTTTTTGCTGTTCACAGTTGCATTTTTTCCTGTTGGGTGCCACGCATTCCAGCATGTGGCCCATCAAGCCACAGAAGAAATCTTTGAAAGATTTGGGTGGTTGAAGCAACAGCCATTGTTCCTGATACGTTTAGCGTTTTTAGTAAGCGACTTTTTCTGATGTTTTTTTCTTTTTTTTTTCTAACTTTCCGAACGCAGAGTGAGATTCTTACCTGAAATCACCTAACATCCGATTCCGTGCCGCTCAAGCTCTCTTCGGGCTTCACTATTTGGTATGTTATGAAGTATTCTGGATACGCCTGTTCGCCTCTATAGACGACGTATTCTGCAACAGGTTTAAATTAATGGAATGATTAATTGTCCGTGAGTTGGATTTAAAGGATACATCCGAAATTCGACTCATACCTGGGAAAATTAAACCTCCAGTTGAAGGTCTGCCGGCCACTGAATGATGTCCAGGAGGAGCGTGTGCCATTTTCATTGCACTGAATTGCAAGAACGATTTGCCTAGTGTGACTCGACAAAGCACTAGATGCCTGATGAGTAAATGCAAATTTAGACACTAATTATCAATTAATGGCAACGCAACCACTAACCTGTGGCATGTGTAGCAGCTGCGGTCCTTATGGGTCGGGCAGCCAGTTCCGCCCCCGATTCCATAGACGTACTGGTTGCTCTTGGATGAATGTTCCGCGAAATAAATCCCGGCGCCGAACATTCCTGTAATTAATGCCCAAAATTAGATTTATGAATCGAAACCCCCCCGATAAACTTGCCTCCAATGTAGGCATGGCGTTCATCAAACCCTTTTTGCACAATCGCATTTATAAAAGGCGAGCCATGGAACAACATCCTTTCGTTCGACTGATGGTTATTCTCTTCTGCTACTTCGTGACGCCTATGGGTGTATCGTTCCCACAGCTTCCGATTTTGGACTTTTTGGATCTAGAATATTTCGCGGCTAACTCACGAAAGCCAGCTAAAAATTCAGGTTCCTACCCGAACTATGTTGTATCGTGTAAAAACTCCACCCGCATGCCCATTGTCTCTGTGCTCGCGAATGCTGTTCTGCATTTCTTCTTCGACAGTGATATACTCCTTGTCGTCCGGAACGAGATCGACCAGAAGAGTGCCTGGATTAGTCGGGGTGGTCCATAAATCCCCACAGTTTGCAACCAAACGCTCCATTCCTAGTCGCAGAAAAAGACGGTTTTAACCACATTTATTAGCTAGCAGCTAACTTCCAACCTTTGATCAGCTTGTGCCTGAATCCATAGGCGGATATCCCGATTTGCTTTAAATCCTCGTGATTCATCTCGGCTAGGATATCGAGAGTGATTTGCTCTCGGTCGAATATTTCGAGCAAATGCTCCAGATTCAACGAGACCAAAAATTTGCTCACCGAGTAGATATCAGTGGCGTCTTCTGGGGTGTGGTCCGCACTGGCCGCTCCTGAACGAAAAAACCCGCATGGCGAAAGTCTTTATTGGCGCAAAACATACCTTCAGCCTCCCCCATGGCGGCGCTGGTTCTACTTCCATTGGTAGACGCGACCGGAACCATCAGCTGAACAGCCGCCCCTGAGGGCATCACAACTGTTTCAGTGGTAGTCGAATTCATATTCGACCCGGATATTGAGGGACTGGGAGTGTGACCAGGCAAAGCGATGGATGGCGGCCTGGATGTAGACTGTGCAGCCGTCGGAACAGCTGAAGAAACAAAACCATATAAAACCCGATTAAAGAAGTAAAAGAGTCAGGAACATTACCTTGTTGAGACGCCATGGCGTCTTGCAAGAGGCAGCGAACATCATCAGCCGAAGCCAAATCGACTGGCGCTTGAGATTCTTGGTTTTTCAGGAAGGGATCCGCTCCATGTGCCAACTGGGGAACAATATAATGTTTCTCTTCCTTAGAGACGAAGAAGACAAGCTTACCAAAAGGGCGCATAATTGTGTTCTTCCCTTTTGGGCGGCCTCATGCAGTGGCGTGAAGCCCCATTTGTCGGTAGCATTCACTACAGTGTTGAATTTTATTAAAAGGGCCGCTATGTCCAAGTGCCCATAGCTAGAGGCGTTGTGCAAGGGAATTAGCCCCCCCTTGTCTTGAGCATTAACATCGGCGCCGTTTTCTAGAAGATATTCGGCCACTTCCACATTATTGTACCCAGCTGGAATCGATTAAATAATTCTCCGAAGTTTGTCAGCGCTCCTGCAACTTACCAGCCAAGTGTAAAGGTGTGGAATTGCGCCCCTGGGCGTCCCGACAGTTGATATTTTCGGGCGAAACCAGTCTTTGAACTCTCTGCAAGTTGCCTTTCTTGGCTGCGTCCAAGAGGGCCGCATTTCCGCGCAACAAGTCCGCAACGTCTTGGTCACCTTCTCGCACCAAGTCCAAAGCTGTCGCTCCATCCCTGTTCTTTTTACTTGAATCTGCTCCATGCTAGAAATTAAAACGCAATAGAACAATGTCTGGAAGAGATTTGCCACAGAAGCCACCTTGAGCAGAAGTTTAACGATTTCGTATTTTCCTTTTGCGGCCGCCTCATGCAGGGGCGTGAACTTCCACAAATCCGCCACATTGACGCTCGCTCCATGTTTCACCAGTAGCTCAGTGACTTCGTAGTGGCCGTAAGAACAAGCGTTGTGGAGAGGAACCAAACCACTACAACAAGCAAATTGATCAGTTGAAATGTTCCGGAATTGTTTGAGAGGAGGTACCCTTTATCTTTAGCGTGGACGTCAGCGCCTTGTTGTAAAAGGAACTCCACCACTTGTACGCGGTTGTAGCCGGATGCAAAATGTAGGGGAGTGGAATGTCTTCCGTCCAAGTCTCTGGAAATAAATAACTACTGTTCCAGTAACCTGAGAGGTTCGTAAATTAAATGCTGTTACCGGCAGTTGACTATGTGGGGGTAGGAGCCGAGATATCTCTGCACTTGGTCCAGATCCCCTGCTTTGGCAGCTTCCAGCAACTGACTCTCTACATCGGCAGGAACAGCCGGAGGATCTGAAAGGAGGCACAAATGTCCCTAGTTATTGTCAAAGAACAGAACAATTTTGGCCATACCTTGCAAAATTTTAAGTACATTCTCTAAAGCCACTTGATTGGCCGCATAGCCTTGCAGGGAAACAATGGAAGTGTCCACGTTATAGGAAATTAGAATTCTGCAGGCTTGAACATTGTCGTCTCGCGCACACCTATGAAGCGCCGTTTGTCCTAATCCATCCAAAGCATTCACCTGAAATATTTCGCTGAAACAACACGAACTTTTTGGGTAGATTCAACCCACCTTAGCTCCGTTTCTCAACAACACATCCATGAGATCATAATGAGAGTTATCAGCGGCTATGTGCAAGGGGGTGAGAAACTCCTTGTTTTTCTCGTTCAGTGGGGCCCCTTTGCGAATTAGGGACTCCAAAACCTGCAACAAGTCACACGGTTATTGAACAGTTTGCAGTCTTTCCAGCCATTACTTGTTTTTTCTTCGGGTATAGTGATCCGCAAACCGCATGCACTGCAGTATCCCCCGTATAGGGATGCTTGAAGCCGATGATATCCGCAGATAAATATTTCTTTAGCTTGGCATTATCGGCCTGCCTGGCAGCGTCTAGTAGCAAGTGTCCTTTGTATTCATCTGCGGAAAATTCAATAACTCTTTTGCTACTTTGCCTTAGTAGTTGGGAACCTACAAGCGAGTCGCTCCTGTAATTCCCGAGTTGGAGCTGCATCAATCGCGGATTTTGAGTGGCAATTTAACTGGTACGGGTCAGCTCCTGGAACAACCGCGAGCGTTATTTTCCTGCAATGAAATCCTACCAATCCCGTTCACTTGCCTTCACTTAACAGTAACGAGCAGACTTCGACTCTCGACTTGGAAGCAGCCTCATGAAGTGGCGTGAACGCCCATAGGTCGTTAGCGTTCACATTAGCCCCATGTTTAATCAACATTTCCGTGACTTCAAAGTGCCCGTACGAACAGGCGTTGTGAAGAGGAACCAATCCGCTGCAATTTTCAATCGACTGTAACGACAAATGGAGGCAATTTCCCTGCTTAAATTACCCTTTGTCCTTTGCATGCACATCAGCGCCGTTCTGTAAAAGCAACTGCACCACTCTTCCTCGATTGTAGCCAGCAGCTAGATGAAGCGGCGTGGAGCGTCGACCATCACTAGCATGGCAGTTCACGTTGAGAGGGTTTAAAAGAGCCAAAAGCCGGTCTTCGGCTCCTGATCGGGCAGCTTCCAGCAATTCATCCTAATGATAGAAGTTTTAGCGGTAAAAGGCGGCAATTGGCTTCAGGGCTCACCTTGCGATATTCACCCGTTAAAACTGGCCTGGTGGCTGGATCAGCTACTTCGAGCGGGGTTTTTCCTTCAGTGTTGCGGATATTTACGTCTGCCCCATGTTGCAAAAGGGCTGTTGGAGTGCAGAAAAAACGAAGTTATGTTTTCCAATTATGTTAGAGTGTTCACGTTACCGATGCAAACATCAATTTTCCCTTTTATTCCAGCCTCGTGCAATGGGGTGTAATTCCAATTGTCTCTGGTGTTGGGACTGGCGCCTGCTTCCAAAAGGAGCCTCACGACGTCGGCATGGCCAAAAGAGCAGGCATTGTGCAGGGGATGCAGTCCTCCATCATCTCGCGCTTGGATCGACGCGCCTGCAGATAGAAGGAACTCTACAACGTCCCTTCTTCCATAGCCTAAATCGAGACAAAACATTTAGCTGCAAGACTTTGGAAGATCGTTCGTAGAATGAAAGCAATTTGATGAATCTTTGTCCAGAAGAAAACGGGGCAAAAAAAAAAGTCGCAAACTATAACTTACCAGCAGCAAAGTGTAGGGGTGTGGACTTTCGTCCGGCAGTGTCCCTCGCATTCACTGTAGTGGGAGTGACCAATTTCCTCACTCGAGCAATATCGCCCACCTTGCAGGCCTCAAACAGCTCCCTTAAGGGGTCGTTGCTGCTGGGCAATGGATCCATTGATGTTTTGAGAATGTCGCCCCTACTGGTCGCCATAACGTGACCAATCTTAAGAGAACATAACGGATAACGCCACTTGGTTTCCAAATTAGTGTTTTGCCACCTTTAAAGCGATTTAAAATTAGCCATAGCACAAGTGAAAGTCGTCGTAGGCATGGTCATTTTGCAATGTTTTTATCATGCGTAGTTGAATCACTGTTTGGTCACTGCTTTGTTTGTTTTGAGGGTCACTATATTTTCCCTTCCTTAATTCGAGGGAATGGAGGAAAAACTCCAATAAGTATGTATGTTACCGAACTGACGAAAAAATATGTCACAGTCACAATAACAAGCACAGAACACCTCTGAACAAGGCTCTCTACGTCAACGTCAATGTCACAGAACATACCCCCTGGGATAAGGGGGATATTTTTTGGTCAATGTCAGTTGCTGATCTTATGGTCTATCGGGGGATAGAAACAAAGCATCAGCAGCAATAATTATAAAAAAATGTTTTGTATTTAGGAAATATGCAAAGGGGGTTCCCAGCAGAGCTGTACAAAATTAAAAAGTACTTTTTTTAGATAATTCTAGGCAGGAAATAATTCATAAATGTTCGGTTAATTTAAAAACGCAAAATAATGCCAAATAATTTCAAGGCCATAGATAAAAAATAGATGTATTCATCGATGGATTTAATTGACGTTTCCCCACCAGTTGAAAACAGTCGATCTAATGTCAGTGGCCATTTCATTATATTCAATTCAAAGTGTACGAACTGGTTGGAACGACGTATTTGTTAAACAAATACCTTGAATGTTGATATGATTTTGCTTAAAAAGTCCATATTTCTGTGTTAAAGACATTCTTGTTCTGTGGATTTTCAACCGCCTAGACCATGATCTCGGCAATAATTAGCAGAATTGTGATGTAAGTAAATTCGTCGGTTTGTGTTTCGATTTTTCCGATTTTGTTTACATCGATATGTTTAAGGAAATGTATTCTTATGCTGCATAACAACGGACATCCACACGATAATCCTTGTTAGAGAAGGTGATTGTTCTTTGTTTAAATGTTTGGCTCGTTTACAGTTGTCAATTTTAGACAGGCTTTGTGTGATCGAATTTTTATGCCCTTGATTTTTTTTACTCAATCTTTTTAGTTTTTCCCAATTTACACCAATTCCCTAGTCCCTAATTCATACCAATGCCAATGTCGACTGCATACATACACACGTCCAGATAGTTTTATTAATTGCAACATTTGGAATACACACATTGAACTTGAAATGGTCTGCTGAAATGGAATTGAAATCTTCGTCGTTTTAAAACAAGATTTTTTCCATGTCAGGAACATCAACGTGTGTGTCTCTGTGTTTTTTTTTATTTCTAAGTGGCTTTATCTTTGGAATTATTCTAGAAATGTTCATATCAAAATGCGATAAAATCTTTGACCATGAGTTTCACTCCAAACTCTCCTAGTTTAAAAACGTGCTTTTGCAAACGATGCAAATCAAGGTGATTATTATTGCTGATATAGATCCTGAAGAAACTAATCGTTCAAAACAGTGATAACCCAAAAACAGCTAATTCACATGAGATTATTTCCCCGAACTGAATAAATCTATATTGAATGTGGTAGACAAATTGTTAAAACACTGGAGACACTTTTTTGTCCCTGCAAAAATTATGCTCGCCTTGGAAATATTTCAATATTCAAAGTGTGCAAAATGTAACGCTTTCCAAGCAAAAAAACACATTTGTATTTGCATCGCATTAATTTGATCCAAAGGCGCCTCATTTGCAACGAATTAATTCATGATCAATTCAATTAATTGAATTTGAACTGTTTTGTACATAAAACACAGTGTGCTTTATGCAGTGTGGATTATGCAGCCGAATGAATGTATAGCTAAATACCGACTTCAACATATGTTTTAGCCATTGTCATCGCTCTGCATGATAATAAAAGAAAGTGCGATATATTTTTAAGTAAGATCATGCTAAATCGACCTTCTGAACAGATTTGACCTTAAATGAACGCACGTCTGGTCCGAAATTGATCTATTCATTGTATCAAAGAAATTCTTTTCGAGTTTCACATCATGTTTGGATTAATGTTGCTGATATTGTTGTTAGTTAACTACTAGTCCTTAAAAATAATGAGGCATCTACTTGCAACATTAAACTTGCTAAACCAGTAAATATGTCTTGGTACACGGTGAATTTTACGGATTTCGCTCGTTTTACCGCCCGTGGGTTTGTGTGTTTTGTGGCTGGCCATCATTATCCCATAAATGGATCTTCAATGGTAACAGCACTTGCTAGCAACAGTTCTGGCTGTTTATTTTTTGCGTATTTCTGCCTCTAGAAGATTTGATTTCGGGCCACAAAAGTCCTGTAAAATCCTTGTTGGGTAATTGTTACCTATGGTAAATACACTGCATTGAATTACATCTATAAATAATTTCCCAACGGTTTGAAATTCAGCCAAAATTCAACTCTCGCTCGTCGAAGATGAAATTTCCTTGGCCACCTGGACTAAATATAGTTTTAGTCTCCATTGTGGCAGGCCAGATTTACTGTGTGACAAAAAATAAATTTTCTTCGAGCAATTTGATTTGAGAGAATGTCGCAAAAGCAGAAACCGGAAGTTCGCATTATTGTGCATATTTGGAACGATGTCGTGGTAATTCATGTATGAGTCGAAGGTATGATTTACCGATTGACCAGGTAATGGAACTCGTCAATTTGTTGAATCTAGAAAATTGTCTGTAAATCGTCACTTCTTGTTGCGTTGTTTCAAAGCATCTGCCAGCATTGACTGCTGCAGTCTAAAATACATAATGATAATTTTAGAATCATGACCTGTTTCAACCATATACCACTTTTATACGATATTATTGGGCACTCAGGAAGTAAAAGCCAAGCAACGGTAAAAATCGTGCTGGTTTCAAATCGCTATCATTTGCAATGGCTATTTGCATTTGCGGTTTATTATCCTTCTATTTGACAATGGTTGCTTAATTGGGCTGTTAAATTAATTAAATTTTTGTTAGTCACTTTTTTCAGGCAAACGCCACAAAGGGGCTTTATTTGAGATAAAAACGCACAATAAGTAATTAAACGGAAAATATAGTGAACAATTGTAGTCATCTATTAAATGTCAATTTATTCGAAAAGTCATGTAAAACATCAGATTTTATATTTTTTGCGAAACTCTACACGCTTTACTTATTACGAAAACTGTACGTGGGTGGTGCTGTGGTAAATCAAATAATCGGCGATTTTAGTGCACCCTCCTTTGCATTTTGCATGCTAAATTACATCTTAAACAATGCACAGTGGCACCTCCTTAATTCCACCTAAATTACAATTGATGTTATTAGCCGTGGGATGGGGGCTGTGTTGTTGAAAGCTTCCTCCCAAGCGTGAAAATTACTTAATGGGAATTGGAAAGAAAAATCGACGTATTGTTCGGATTTTGAGATCAATTCTCCGTTCCGAAACTAATTCAAAGCTTGGTTTATAGTAACATTTTGCTCAAAAACTCTCGTGCAAAGTAAACCCTTGAACGTTCAGTGGAAAAATTAAGTTCGTCAAGCATCCTAATTGCTCATAAAATCAATACTTGCTTACACAAACCCAGTTTTAAGAAATTCCTGCATTATTCATTAACAGATTACTGTCGCCATTATACAGGGCGGATTTGCCAAAAAATGTTTTTACAATTCAAAATGTATATATTTTTTGTTATAATATACCTAATTCTTTTTTCCAGATTAGTCTTTGGTACTCTTTACCCGGCTTATGCCTCCTACAAGGGAGTGAGGACCAAAAACACCAAAGAATACGTAAGTTGAAACTGTAACCGAAAACAAATTAGTGTCGCTTTTCCTTGCTTTAATCGGTTGACAAATTGTGCCACACAAATTTAGCAGAAAGCCTAATTTTTGCAATGACGACATTTCATCCAGTTCGGTTAGTGTGCAACAACAACGAACGTTCTGGTCTGAAGAGCACAAAGCCACAAAGGAAGTGTACCCATTTCTTCTATATGTCGCACTAACATATACATGGCACTAAAAATAACATGGGAGATTGCTTGCAGCCGAAAGAGCAATGACTTTGTGCTATTTAGGATGGTGGTTACTTTACTAGACATAAATTGGCCCGAGGAAACTAATAAAGTAATTTGTACCCAGAAAGCTGTGCAATAATAAGCTTTTCATAATCAAAGCTATAAAACATAATTAATAGTGCATGGTGGATTGCGAGCAATGCACTGCATTATATCCTTGTTTTATAGTGTTTTCGCTATTGTTCTTTGCGTCAATCATGCAGGAACACATACAATACATTTATTACAAAATTTTTCGCACTGAATCTTTTTTTTCTGTTTCAGGTAAAATGGATGATGTACTGGATCGTATTTGCACTTTTTACTTGCATAGAAACTTTCACAGATATATTCCTTAGTTGGTAAGTTTAAATCACTTTTCCCGAGATTTGTCGGTTTTACCCAACCTGGTTGTTTCAGGTTTCCGTTTTACTACGAAATCAAAATAATCCTAGTGATATGGTTGCTTTCCCCGGCTACGAAAGGATCCAGTATTTTATATAGAAAATTCGTTCATCCCATGTTAATCACTAAAGAAAAGGTTTGTGTTTAAACATTAAGTCCTTTTTTAGCCAAAAAACAAGCTCGACGATTTACTTGATTTTTTGTCTTTGCTTATATCACCCTTACCGCAACCTTGAATTTCGAGTCTATTAACTCGCAATTTACCAATGGTTGAACATTATTAAAAACCGGATTATTAATTAAGCGTCAATGTTCTTTGGCGACTCATTTACACAATAGTTGACGCGTAGTTCTTCCCGCTTTGTTTTTGCTTAAAATCAAGCCGAATCTGAGAAAATCGAAGGAATTTTAAGAACATTTTTCCCCTATTTGATTAGGTTTGGTGCCATTTTTTGCCTTGGATTTGCAACCTTAACAAAACGTCCCCAGTCCCCAATGAATAAAAGTTCTAATCATTCTAATAATTAAGTTAAAGTGAAAGGTATTTTTTATTATCTACTTCACGTACTTTTCAATGATTATTAAGCAGGTTGTTATCCAGCACTTATCGGAATATTGTTTAATTTTTTAATTGTCTATTTTCAGGAAATTGACGAATACATTTCTAAGGCAAAGGAACAAAGCTACAAACAGTTTCTCGATATCGGTCAGAAAGGAGTGACTGCTCTCATGCAAACTGCTCTTAAGGTAATCGTTGGTCTCAATCAAATGAAACAGTAAAATCGTCCATTTTTTGTGAACTGGATTGGCTTGGAAATTTCAAGTTAAAAAAAATTAGAGACATGATGTAGTGTCTTGCCAATATGTATATTATTTCCAATGTTTCACTCTGCATGTGTTTTAGTTGGATGTAGGTACTTACTATTCACTTTGCTCTCATATTCGTAGCTTTTTGAAGTTTATTTGGCAGTTCTTTTTATTATTTCAAAACTCCTCTAGTTAACTGAATGTTTGTTTAACGTTTCCCTGAAAAAGCTGGAGAAAAACTATATTTATCTACGATCATTTGAGTAATCGCCTCTCCCCATACCTTAGAACATAGAAATTGCTCCATCCTGCTCCTGAAGCCCAGAAATAAGCTCTAAAATCTAGCTAATAGCACTAATTTCCATATAACTCATAAATGTTTCTTTCTCGCACAGTCTGAGATAGTTCAAAATCTTGTGCAAATGCTTTCGCTACCCGATGTAGTTCGTATTGATCAAAATGTTGCTCCCTGTGCACCTGCAAGCGCCCAACCTGGATCTTCAGATGAAGAACCTGAACCTTCAGATGTACAACCTGGTCCTTCAGATACACACCATGAAAATAATGATAAGAATGATCGACTGGCTAATGCGATTAGAGCTATGTTGGCGGAGGGGCCCCCGGGGCCCAGAACAGGCCCTGGAAAAGGAAAAATTAAGTATAGAAGAAACGCAATATGTTTTGAAGGGCTGCCGGATTAACAACTCAACTCATTTTGGCACCAATAAGAAATCTCCACATGTCCTATGGAGGAAGTTTTATCATTACCGAGTTACATTGATGTAAAAGGAGTTGTTTTGTAGCTGTGAGTGTCGGCCGTTAAGACCAAGAACATTTATGACAGAACACATTGCTTTTAGTTCTTGAAAGTGATGCTGCTTCAATATTTAACCTTATTGTGCCTTATTAATGAATCTCAATTCGAAATTACAAAATTAATTGATTAAGACTATAATACGTTTGGCAGACGCAAATTATGATTTTCGAATTTTCTAGCTATACTTTACTAGATTAAGTTTTTTGTTTTATTTGTTTATTTCTATTTTAAATTTGTGTGTTTTGACTGATTTTAATGATTTTAGTTTGATATACATATTTACATATTTTTTTACTTTGGAATTGTTGTGTAATGACTTTTACTGTAGGAAAAAAACGACTGATGCCTCGATTTATGGGGGTTTTGCACATTGTGGCACAAGTGATTTTTAGACTAAGAGAGTTTTAGACAATATCCGATGTCCGTTACCAGTTGTACTTTATGTATTAAAGAGTTTTTCCCAATGAACTTATAGTTTCATTATTGATCAATCAACCATGGCCAGGTTTTCGGCACGGGGTTTTCGGTATTTTGCGGCAAAAGCGCACGACTTCTCTTCAATGGCATGTTTGATTCACTTTTTCTTTATGCATGGCTTTGTTGTGTCGGTTTTTTTAATGATGTTAACTTTAGCAAGTAAGTACCTACATTTTACTTTTAATTTTATCATCCGCTGCTGATATTTCCGCTTTGCAATTTCAGTACTGTTTCTCGATTATTACTCTTGAATGTCTTAGGGAGGTGGTGGCATAGTTAACCACTTGAAGAAGTCGTACAGCCTCAGTGATCTGAGTGATCCAGCCGATGGCATCGATGAAGGCGATATTCTCGTTTCCGACCCACACCTGATCCGACGGTAAATAGTTTAGTAACTTTGTAAAAAAAACATTGTTTTTGCCCCTGTAAAATCGTGTAGAAATATCGAGCAGCTGATTAAGATATTGAAAAAAAAAATTAATTTGCAGACGGAAACAAGGCCGCAGTCCTCACCGCTCCAGCTCAGCGTCTTCGGCTTCCGTGTATTTTGCGGAAGTAAACGTGGGCCTGGGACGTGAACCTATCACTGAAGTACGAAGTACTGAAGATATAAGTTCAGGTGAGTTAGGAATTTTTTTAACATTAGGTTTGAATGGAGGTTTTTTGGTTATTTCAGGTTACTCTAGCGCTGAAGGCTTGTATGCTGCCCAGCACCCTTTAAGGCTACAATCCCGAGAGAGCATAGGCAGTAATCGGGCTAACTCTCTAACGCGATCTCGTTCAACTCGAGTTACCAGGTCCAGCGTACCAAAGAAGGCGAATATTACGAGCGATGTAAGTTATTTTTCTTCCCAGCCGGTTCGTTCCCATCCAAATGGTTCCGAGTAATCCGAAACCCCATTTTCAACTATTGTAGGATAGCGACGATAATGAAGTGTTTGACACCAATATAGTGTTTTTTAATGATAAGGCGAAGGAAATCAACAATCTGCCCGAATCGCACGACTCGTCATCCAGTGAGGAGTTTTTTGATACACCTGAAATGATAGGTTTTGATTTGCATGGTAAAACTTTAATCGATACGAGCCGAATTGAAATTGAAAATAACCAACGGATAGTTGATAGTAGTAGTTCGATAATTCCGAACGCTCTTGCAGTAGTTAAGCGTAACCCAATTGACTCCGATGCGAGTGGTGGCAACCACCGTACTGCAGATGTACTTGGGTATGATACTGACAGTAAAATAACTGCATGCCCAAAAGAAATCTCTTCCTCTCCATTAAGACTAAACTTAACCAAATTATCTTCAGCTTTGTCTTCGTTGTATCCTCTATCACTTAAAGCCCCTGCTGGGACAAGCAATGAATCAATGAATCTTCAAATTAACTACCGCAAGCCAGAAATGGCGAAGTGTGTTAGTGGGAACCCATTTGAATGCGATGAGCTGCAAGAAATTCAACCACAGAAAATTTCCAGTCAACCAGATAGCATTGCAAAAGGGGCTGATAAAAAAGCTGGAGGAAACGATGAAGCAGTGAATCGGGGGGGGAAATATCATAAAAAGCATGCTCCTTTACCGCCCCGACCTCCTCGTGTTCAAAATCTTCCAATCAAAGCCACATTGGTCTTGCAACCAGGTGTAGTGAGGAGCCTGAGTTCAAGCGCAGAGAGTCTCAATAAGGAAGTTTTTCTGAACTATTCGCCGAAGATGAGAAGGCCGAGAAATGCTAGTTCAAGTTCAAAGAGCAGCGAAAGCTCTTCGTCAATGAAAAGCGACAATGCTTTAAGCAAGATGCTTAGATTGCCGAAAAAAATGGCTCATTTGAACATCCCCAGTAAGGTAAAGGAAAAACGGCACTCATGGGGAGATTTTTTCCATAACAAGCCGCTGGCAGCTTCGGGCAAAAACGCGCACTCAAGAAGTGCGAGCAGTTTAGACGCAATTGCCGAAAACCCCACAACAGAAGCAGCCAAGCCGATTCAAAGGGCTGGGAGCCAAGTTTCTATTCGAAGTTTGACCGATTCGCCTCTGGCACATAGAAGGTTAAAAATTATTAGAAGATACGTTGACAATTACATTGACTAGCTAGATATTGCCTAGATGTTGTCAGGACACTTCCTATAGTCAGGCATGATTTCTTATCATTTGGTTTGATCTGTGTGGAATTGCGCTGCTTCTTACTAACAAAAAACAAACTTGCTGAACTAATCACAGGATATTTGGTGTTGTTTGTGATGTGTTTGCCACTAATTCATGATTTTATTGACTCTTAAGGTGCGAATTTGTCAATTAAAAAAATGTTTCAACTACAACGACGCATTTGATCAGAAGAGAAAAGCAGTGAAAAAATTAAGACTTAAATTTCTCTATAAATTGTTGAAACAACACCTGTTCTGATCTATTGGAATAATCGGATTTCAAGAAATATTTAACGGAACGGAATCTTGTTCTAAAATGGGATAAATATTTTTTTTTTATTTGGCATAAATGCATCATGTGTTTTTATAATGATGTATTTATATATATATATATACAGGCTGTCTTTGATATAAAATAAGTTATTGCCGTGCGTGTTCAAAGGGGGGCAATTTTGCAGCTTTTCTACTTGTTTCAAAGCCAGCCGGTATATACGAATTTCAACAATCTTTAAACAGTGTGCTTTTCATAAAATCGCTCAAGTATGTCGGTTTTGTAAAAATTATTCAATTATGTTAATTTCTTTGATGATTTTTATTCTCGTTGCCACAATAAAATCATCAAGTCAAATTTAGGAAAACATTCTTGTTCAACAAGCGATATATCTGAGCTTGATTCTATGAAAATCTTAGGAGCAAATCCATATTAAAAATTATTTTTTTAGGAGCAGTCAAGTGCCACCTTACCCCGTATTAAAAAATCAACAAAAAAGAGGGCTTTATGAGACGGAAGTCTAGGACAGATAACCGATGATTAGCCTGATGGACGTCTTTATCCTAGCTCTATTTATGTGTGATACTTGTATACTTTTATTTCTTAATTCAGTGATTAATTAAGTTAATCCTGGCTCAATTTATAACCGATTTTATACTTGAAATAGCGCAAAAGGTTACTAACAGCATATTTCCGCACGAAACCTTGTTTTTGTCGACTTTATTTTATAGTTGTTCAGACAGTAAGTCGCCGATAAAATCATATTGATTTTGTTGCGTGTATGTCAGTATGTGTGTAATTGTAGCAATTTGTTGCCGATAGTAATTTATCATTGGCTTAATGGAAAAGTGGTCTGTACAGACATCACATGTTAGCTTTCAAAGTGGTAGCGGTTCCTTTACTTGGAATTCATGTACAATTTTGAATAAACTGATTGTTACGTTACTAGTTTATTCAAATTTTATGTCGTGTATTTTTGAGTCGTTTTTCCTCAAACACGCCATTGTTGGTTACATGTTTATTTAAGTGTTGGTGGGCAGGTTTTATACAATTACTTGTGTGTAAAATGGCGTCTTTTTAGTGTTCAAGATTGGAAGTTACATCCTAAAATACCGTTCCTTTTATTGAGATGTTAATATGATTTTATAACATGAGACTTTGTGGTAATTTATAATATACATAGCAACTTGTTTAGGTACTATAAATGTATTGATGGTTATTTCACAATCCCCATAGATCTATTAAGGCGCTTTATCATTAGTTTTACTTCTTCTACTGTTAGGTTTTTTACCGTGCTGGTTAGTCACGTATTATGTAAGATTACTAACTAAATGTTTGCCAAAACTCAAGCCTTCGAATCGATGAATGGCTTAATAAAAGATATTTGATTGATTAGAACATAACGTGAGTTTAATTAATTGTGATCCAAGCGACCCAAATTTACCTGTTTTCTATCATATGCGACTGAAACATCTGCTTAGATAATAATTTAGCCAAAGGATATATTTTTCGTCCTCTGGTTTTACTGGGTGCATTTGCATGGCTGCTGCAGTCCATACCAGAATGCAATATACGCTCTGCGCTTTTCCAAAATTTAGATTTTATGGTTTTGTTATTGCGGACAATAAATGCGAAGTTTTCATGTGGGCATTTTTATGAACGGAATTTAAGAATCATCCGAACATTAAAGAGCTTTTAGTGCTTGGCTGGCTGCAATTGAAATTTTAAAATTCTTATTAATGTTTTCTTTATTTGTTGCCTTTAGCTCCAAATCTAATGGGAAGAGTTTACCAGTGAGATTAAATGAAAAGTTCATTGGAGTTTTGGTTCCTCAAGCAACATTGTCTTTTATATTCAAAACTACAACCGGTTATAAACATAAAACTCCTTACATTCAGGATTTTTCCATTCTTTTGCATCCAGTTTCATGGAAAGTTTGGATTGCTCCCCATTTTCTACTTGATATGGGAAAGAAATAACAATGAAGCCGCAGCAAACTAAATCGCCGTGGGGCTTTCGGACACTTTTGGAAATTCATAATGGACAATTTTTTCTTTTTCCAGTTTTCAAATCAGAAAGATCTTTGCGGCTTAGATTTTGACTTGAAATTTATAAATAAATGTTTTTTTTTTGTTGCGTGCAGTGTAGCAATCAAGTATAGAGTTAACATTGTTTGCAGCGTTTTACAATAAACCAATTTTCCAAGCCAACATTTCCCGAGAGGAAAATTCTAACTTATTTCGCTGAACGCGTTATAGCATTTTAATATTACTTTCCCATTTATATCCTCCAATTTCTGGTTTCTTTTGCTTGTTTAGGAAAATGAAAAATCGACTTCGTGTGCGATATTTCGGTTACGGAAAACATCGTACAGCGTTCGCGCATTTTTTTTGCTCTCAGAACACAAGCACTTGTATTCATTTATCTGATGCAGTTTGCATTGGCTTGTTGCAGTTATTTGCTATTGATCAATCAGAGGTAAAACTGTAGCGCAATTAATTTCAAAGTTTCAAAAAAAATCGCCAGAACAAAACCTAAAAAAGGGAATATTTGTACACGTATTCCATGAATTCTGTGAGTTTTTATGCCCAATATTTTTTGGCTGTAAAGCAAATGCAATTACGATACGCAAAGCGCTTTATTGAAGGGCATCAAAAATACAACCAATTCCGTATTAAGAGTTTAGTATCGGCGTTTCTCTCTCAAACACAAAATAGCTCTTCGACTCGTTCTACTTACCAAATTTGTTTTTTACTGTGATCCCCCAAAAGGGCCTAATGTAAGTGGAAAATGAAAGGAATGGACTGTATTTTTATCTATTGATTTGCAGTTACAGGATTTACATCAACAAATCTGTGTTAAAAAAAACTGAAAATTACCCAGATTGTTTTAATATAAGTATATGTATATATATAATTTTTGTCTCTTAATAAAAATTATTTTGATATTATTGATTGAAGCTTAGAAGTGATCAAGAAGTAAACTATAATTAAGGTAGCTTGTGCTACTGCCCGCGCCTCAAACCACAAAATTGTTCAAGATGTTTCAACTATTCTTTGATATTTTGTTATTTTATGTTTATTTAGTCATTTCTGATTTAACATTGGCAATTGGTGCATTGAAGGAAGAACAGATATTCAAAGGTAAACGAAAAATTTATTTTCTGGACGGGAAAGTGAATACTCAAAGCTCTAGGCTCATGCAAGCACAACTATCCGACAAAAAATTTAAAAAGTTCAAAAAATAAAAACTAGAGCAACAGTTTAGTATAAGGGAAAATTATTTCTCGTCCTAGTTATTTGAAAAGCCCCAAAAGGGAATGGAAATAATCTAAAAATTATTTATGGATTACCGATTTTTCTGCATCTTCATCGGCAACACTCGTTCACTTTAAATACACCGTTTTCGTTCATTGCCTGCAATAAACTGAAGATTTATTCACCTTATGCGAAAAACTGCATGCGATGTGCTAGCATGATGATATAACAGTCCGATATAATTTTTTTAACAATTTTATGGATAATTACCGCAACATTTTAAATATGCCAACGTTAATCAACAGTGTGCGAAAATTTCCGATTTTACCAAAGGCTTAAAACTAGACTGGAAAAGTGTCAGGAATAAACCCGGAAAATCTAAAGTCACCGAAAAGAAATTCTATAGCGAATAAGTTAGTACGCGATATAACTTATCTGCCCTAAAGATTTTACTTGTGAGTGCTAAATGTCATTCGAGTTGTTGGCTTTATATTTCAAAAAGTTCTCACATACATTTTCTTTTCAGCGCTTTTTTCGAAAACCAATATAAACTTGCTGGTAAGTTTATCCCGTTCTCTATCTTGGGCGTCGCGGTAGTTTATCATAGAAAAACGCACAGCTTTAAAACGTAGAAAATCATTTATTTTTAGGGGTATAATAAAAATGAAATATTCGCGCTACTAGCATTGTTCCAGCGACTATTTGTTCGAAACTTTATCAATTTGATATTAGACCCTAGAGTGTATCAAAGGGGCAAAACACAACGTATCGCCTGCAAGGGCATTTATTACTTGATATATATTTCCTAATATAACGTGGATAAATCCTCTATTGACAAATTTATTGGCGAATAATGTGCGCTTTTGGTATGCAATTGTAACAACAACAACATTTTGTTATTGATATTTATCGCGTTACCAGTACAAATATAAAACATAAATTACCAGGCGTTAATCCAATGAAGAAAAATATATAGTGGATTGATTGATCAACTATACAAAATATATGTAAAAAATCAGTTGGTGAATTTATTAAATATTTTTCATTCCACTCTCGTTCAACTAAGTTAATTAACGTGGTTTTTTAATGTTGGATATATTCGATATCGGCACAATGAAAAAGAAAGAAACATCGCCACTCATCCCATTTACCGAATTTCCTTTTTAACGCCTTCGACGAGCTCACCAGATATTTCATTTAGCAGGAAATAAAATAAATGATTCAGCCCATATAGAGAATCGATTACTAAAGCGTTTTTCTAAATGGATTAGTATGATATGAAGCATTATATAAGACGAAATGAATGCGCTTCTAACTCATTTGCGGGAAACAATTAAATTAGTTTGCCAGAAATTACGAATTTATACTGCAGGAATTTACATGTGTTCTGTAGTCATCACAAAGTCAATGCCGCCGCTAAGGGACCGCAAAAACCACCTGGACCTGCAAACCTTCAACTTAATGAAAATTCACTGAAATACTTGTAAACCACAACATCCTAAACTGAAGCAGCTCTACATACTGAATATGGCTGGAATGGGTTTGTTTTAGTAAAAACAGCTCTTTTCCATGCCATGGTATTTGATTTTCAGTTTTATTATTCTAAAATTCGGTTAAAGAGGCTGCAGTTTTTCTAAAGCGCACTTTTTATTCGCTTTGCTGCTAAAATGCATCTTTGAATATTCAGTATGCCTGATGAGTAGTCAAAGAATTGATGAAAATAAATACTCGGTTTCCTCTCTTTCAATTTTTGGCCATTGATTGATTGCATTTAAATCGAAAACTTTGCTGTTGGAAATTGATTAAACTAAACATTGTCTTTATCTGATGACCTAAAATCTGATAAATGATCGCACTTACTATCGTAAATAGAAAAAATATTGCCTTATTTCTCTAAAAAAAATTTGTTGCCGCTTGCGTAATTTTTTTTGTTAAACATTGCAATTTTTTGCTCTGAAAAATATCATTTAATAGTTGCTTTAATTATTTTTTGATGATTGTTCGAAAGCAAAGCAACTTTACTTCCAAAGCTCCTGATGGCTTTAGGATTTCTTCAAAAATATTCTATTCAAATTGCAAATTTGCTAGTCATTTGCCGATTAGATAGAGAAACTTCCTTCCGGGTTTTATTTTGGAAAGTAAAAGTTTGATCTTGCAATTTTTGTTTTTTCTCTCTTTTCTCTCAAGTTGGTCATCATTTTTAGTAAGTAGCACCTTCAAATTTTCAGACTCTATAGAAGACACTTTTGCCTGGAAACTCTGAAAATTGCATAAAAATTAAATTCAATTTTGATTTTTGCAGACTTGCAAAAAACCAATATTCCAGAGAGTCCTGCTGGCACCGCTACAAATTTAATCACTAAATCGGCAAGTAAAGCGAAGCTCGGCCTGGAAATTGATTGTAGTGAAACGTACGCTACTGGTTTCTGTTCTGTTGTACTTCACCCAATTGTGCCTCGTATAATTTCCCCATAAATAAAGGTCCGGACTCCCTAAGTTTTATTTTGACCCAGTCACGTACCGTAGGCCAGCCATGGTCTCACTGCCTGCATATTAAGTCCTTAATTATTAGTAATAGCTGTTAAAACGCCCATAAATTGCAAATGCTCCAACTTTCCTTTACCCACCTCCGCATTTCGGCGGTTTTATTTCAATAAACCACAGAAAAATGCCAACACCTGCGATAACAAAAAAAAAACGAATCGGTTCGGTTAAATTTTTGGCGATTTTCTCAACTTTTGTGCATGAAACTTGATTTTCTGGATGTTGCAGTTCGCTCCGACATTGCAATATTGAGCCCAGTCTCCATCAGATTAATATAAACAGGTGTCGTAACCAAAAACGAGTTTAAAACTTTGAAAACTTTCCCATCTCATATGCGAAACAAGTTTAAATGCGACGAGCACGAAGTCGGGGCAAAAAATTGGAAAATCTTGGTGACGACAGCGAGTTTTCCTCAAGATGCTGGAAAATTCGTGGCACGACAGTTCAGACAATATCTGTTTCCTGGAAAATCTGCTGCAACTCGATACATAAGCGGCTCTGGTTTCTACCATCGGCGTCGCCCAAAAAGGGGCCAAATTTTTTTTGGTCATTGAAGCCTTATGAAAACAGGTGAAGAACTGTAGGAAAAAATTGCGCCTCCTCAGGCTTTCATAGTTCGTTGTATCCAAAAGTCAAACACATTTGCAGATTGATTCTGAACTGATGTTAGAAAGCACTCGGTGATTCTGGATTGTACATTTTCCAGCAGGGAAAACAGGAAAATGCTACGCTACTGTTGAGTGTTCACGGTGGTTTTCCGCATCCACTCGATTTTATCACTGATTGAAATTTATTTTAGAAAGATGTACACATCGATTTTGGCTCGATAGGTAGATTTTGTTGGTTTTCATCCAGGCATTGGCGGTAAAGTGGAATGATGATGCTCAACATATTTTTACAATCCGTAATTTTGCCCGGAAATGTTCCGGTTAAAATACAGGCAGATTGTACGGATTTAATACTTTCAATCGATATTTTTCGCACTTACCAAACAGTTCTAATGCGTCCTCTAATGAGACTGAACTGCAAATTCAGCATTTTTTAATGTAAAATGTGTACGTGTTTATTTCAACTCAAATACAATAAATCGAAACGAAATTTCTGCTGTTTGAACATCCTAAAACGGGGTGCTTCAGGCTGGAAAGCAAATAAAAGTATAATTAAAGCAAATTAAATCGATTCAAATGGTTGTAGCAGAAACACGTTTGTATTTATCGAGCTGATTCTGAATTAACGCTTGACTGTTTTTTTCAAATTCCCCAAAATGATAATAATCTATCGAGTAACTAGTTTCGACTGTGGGTAACAAAAAATTCATATTTTTAGAAAAGCTGTTTAAATCGCTATCGATGATTTGTTGTCTGATTGATCGCGGTCCTTTCTTTGGTAAAAAGTCTAGAAATTAAACCTAATTTTTCGAAGTCTGTACAGATTTATTGCAGAAAAACCACTAGACGCAACCATATTTGTTATGAATATGTAAAAAATTAAAAAAACATACAATCATCATACAGTTGAAAAGTACTTGTGTTAAAAAAAGCGCTCCGGCTCATCAATGAACCATAAACTAAATACGGGCTGCAAAGGACGAAGAAGATAGCGAATAATGTGCAGTTTAAGTGAAAAATGCCCACATAAAAGGGTACATCAGTTTACAAAGACACCGAATTAGACTTAAGTAAGCTTTCCGTCCTCAACAATTCTGGCTAATTTTTTAGCAACATTTATTTTATGGGTATGGCTTTTGCCTGGCAGCGGCCTAAAAGGGAAAAAGGACATTTATTCCGCGCCATCAAATGTCCATTAATTCTTTTTGTGTTAAATGAATCGGACATAGAAAATCTTTCGTTGGCCGCGGACAACACAAAAGTGAATTTTAAAATGGAACCCCATCGATTTCGGCCGCGTATTGCCCATTGTTAGCTCCTGCCTGGACAAGCGTCGAAGAATTCGAAATTTCGTTTTATAAATGGGACGTTTGGAGAGTTACAGGCTTTCATTCTCAGTTGTGTTCTATCGTATCTCATCTTGCATACAAAAGTACATTTATTAATAATAAACACATAAATAAATAAATTATGACTTTAATACAACCTCACCCAAATTGGGGCTTTGCTTACAAAACGTCGATATTTCAAGCTAGATGTACTTTTTTGATCAGTTTTTTCACGTCGAACAATCCCCAGTTATTCATTGTGCTGTTTAGGTAATAATGTATAACCAAAAAATAGAAGCTTTAAATGAGCTTCCAGAAATTCCCCTTGGTAAAGATTCAAAAAACTCGCGAACCAAGAAGAATAAATAATTAATAAAACACCCTTGTACTATCATTAACCTTGCGACGAGCTCGCAAAGAAAATATAATTAATTTCCTGCAGGCTTCGTTTGCAAAGCTAACAATTGCAAGCAGGCTTGACTCTATTTTCATCGCCATGTCCCATTTTAATGAAAAATATCAAAGGAAGTTTTTTCCCAAGAATAGTACTTTTTTGCTGCCGACGCCACTAATATTCGCATCTTCAAACTTGCGACATCAAAGAGCAACACAAGACTTAGCAAACAGGAAAATTTACTTGATATGCTCAAAAACAAAACGCTTTGTATTTATGCATGCTCAGGAGAACGCAGACGTTATACAGTATCATTACAATTATTCCGGCTTTACATTGGCAGTTTGGGCCCTTCTATGTACATCTAATACGATCCCTATTGTTAGCGGTTTTAAAAATGCAAACAGTGCGCTTGCAAGGGTGTAAAGTTCTCAAAGACAAAAAAACCCTGTTACACCCTCCAATTAGTTTAAGTTTTAGGTTACCCCGTATATAAATTGGATGGGACAGCCCCCAAAATAGTCCGCTGGCTTACGGTTTAACTGGAAGGATCTTTTTAAATTGAGAATTCTGCAAAATGTATGGTATTATCATTTCCCCCCTGAAAGTTTCGGTTGCTCTACATCCTCAGATGTTTTTCGGGAACATTTCTGTGTCCACTTTTTACAGAGTGTGGCAAAATTCAAGTAACCAGCCGAAGGCAGGGGTGAGGACTCGCACTCATTTTTTCACTACTTCGATGTAAAACCTTCTTCTGAGAGTAAATGTCCGCAAAACTGACTTAAATAGCATACCATTATTTAGGAGAAAACTCGTTCTACGATCGTTGCACGTTTCGATTTTGTGGCATCTTCAAGGACTTTATTAGAACATTTCGAACTTTGGAGCAAATTTTGCAACAGCCTGCCTTTCAAAAAAAATTTTTGCGCACTTGAATTGACTGGTCACTTTGTAGATGCAAGTCTGCTACAGAAGCCCCCTAAAAGTTTCGGTTGCGCTTCATCCTCAGACATTTTCCAGGAAAATTGCCCCATTTCTCCTGCAAATAAAATTGCTCTTATTCTACTGGTTTTGACGATTTTTGCAAACAAATCTCGTACATAAGTCGACGTACTAATAGCACGTGTTGCCCGCATCAAAAGCGAAAAGAATAGCTACAATACGGCAGGACGTTTCAGTACAAAACAATAGAGAGAATCATAACTTTGAAAGACGGTGCGGACGGAAGCGCGCTCTCTATTAAATCGAACTTTCAAGTTTATCATGCCGTTTTCTATGTAGTTTTTGCAACGTTTATGTCGAACAAATGCCATTGAAAGTGCTAGAGTGAACTTGCCAAACAATCGTTTCCAGCTTATCGTTGTGCTCCAAATGGTAAAGTTGATTTTTGCTTTTAGCTGCCGAATCAAGTGAGTTTTCACCCTTTTTGGCCTAATCTTGAAAGCATTTTATCCTGTCAATAGTTTGTGGAGCTAATTTGATTTTTTTCAGTTGAAAACTGGCTTAAAATATATCTCCGACCAGTAAGACACATAAAGAGATGTTAACTACTCAGTCACGTCCGTTTATTGGTGCTTTCAGGTCGTAAAAAGTTTCGCTGCTTTCCGTTATTTACCTCAGAAGCTCTTTTTCAAGATGAAAACTTCCAATTGTAAATAAACGTCTATTGTAGTCGCAACACATATATTTTTTCATTTTGCATCTGTGTTTAGGCAAAAAAAGTTTATAAAAATAATCTGCACATTGTTAGGAGCACTCTGCACTTTTTTACAAGGTTTCCTTAACAAAAAATTACCGTCTTCGCATCTAACATTCGAGATCAAAAGCATCAAATGGGCACGGTTTTAAATGGAAAAGCCCCTCAAAATGTATCTGTTCACTGCCTCTGAATGCAAGACTAATATTTTCTGGAATATCTTTTCTTCAATTTTTTTGCCTTTTGTTTTCATGTTGGCGCGAAGCAACGGCCTTTGAAACCATTATTCGCGGAAACAAGATATAAAGAAAGCGAATTTGCATGCGATGTTTTTAAAGTTTTCAATTCGACTTCTGGATTAAATAATACCGTTGGAAATGGCGTATTTTTATTAAAGCGACCGCTTTTTTTCGAAGGATTACTTGACGGAATGTTTTTTTTCTGTTTCGTTAATTTAATCAAGGGCTTGTTTTGTGTGGTTAATTTCAGTCATTTGAGATCAGATGTAACGGATGTTCCGTTTGCAATAAAAAATGTAGTTTGAAAAAATTAAGCATTTTTTTTAATTTAGAAAGTTGTCCCAAAGTCGAAAATAATCTACGCTTAGAAAGACGCAAATATATTTTTTATTTCTACAGACTTAAAGATTTCAACATGCAAAAAACGTAATATATTTATGGACATCACTAAGGCCTTTGATAGTGTTTGATAGAATGGAGTATTATTTAAACTTTGCAACACAAAAGTTCCAACACTAAATTACTTACTGTGAACCGCAAGAAACCTATTTTGGAAACACCAATCTTCTCTTTTAAGGTCACATTTAAAAACAATTAAAGGATTTAAAATAATAAAACTAAGTATGTGATTTCTTTTCCAGATAAACCTGCTTACAACGTTGGGAAACTTCATCAAAAAGAGGCAGAAATGGAGGAAACAAAGTGAACAATCATTCGCGTGGGATTATGTAAAATTTATGCCAAAATGTAACTTTACTGCTAAGTAAATAATTCCTCAGTGAACTGTTGCTATATATAAATATGAGCGGGATAAATGGAGAAACTCAAGTGCTGTATAGTTTCACGTTTGAGTTTTCCCTTGTGTGTATTCTATGTATTATGTTTGCACCTATAGATGTGCTCGGTAAGTTTAGTTTCTCGACTGTTATCGGGCATGTTTTGCATATATTTTGTGGCTGGAGACTAGTGTCCATTGAGCTGAAATCACATTTGCATTGAACATTTAGAGTTGAGTATGAAGGAAAAGGGATCCAGTAAATCAGTTTTTTTAACCGCTGTTTACAGTTGTCTTACACTGAAAAAGATGTCAGTAGGCGAGTTTATTTCCAGCGCTCCAAATTAGCTGCCGATTGATGCCAATATACATTTACTTTCTATATCTTAAATGTTTGTGGTCGATTTTTACGCGACGAGAAACAACGGTTATAAATTATGTCCCTCTAAACGAATTTGAATCGCTTTTAACCCCCATCCAATTACTCTACAACGTTTAATATAAATCAAAAACTTTCCTTTCAACGCGTTTTCTTCAATGCCCCGAACGCGACAAATTTATCACTTTTTCAAGATAATTAAAACCAAATTGTATTCAGTCGTCAGTCATTTGTTAGGTTTTTTCTTCTGGCCCGGTTTTTTCTTCTTCTGCCGAAGTATCGGATAACAAATGGATATCGAATGGTAAATCGGGTGTATAAATAATTGTTTTCGAAACATATGTTTGCATTCGAACTAGGTCGGAAAAGAATCGGGAATGGGTGCGATAAACATTTAAAGACCACCAGGATGCTTTGTTCATGACGTGTTCTTGAAGCTTAATTGAGGTACTGATTGCACATGAGCCCGAACTATGAATATCCACGTTGGAAATAACTGCTGGCTCAAACACAATGAGAAAAGTTCACTTATATGTTTCCATTTCTTCTACATGGTCCAAGATGGAAGGAAAAGAGCGGATTTTTCGGTCGATGAGTTACGAAAAAAACAACGTTTCGGAAATAATAGCTGAAAAGCATCCCAAGTAGAACAGCGTTTTGTTCGTCATCCAATGCCCAAATAATTCGCTATTTAATTCAAAATTTCGCTCAACGGTTGGCAAAAAAACACGGTTTTACGTTTAAGATGCTGATGACCCAAACTAACCCAAATGAAACTTTTAAGATGCTTCTGCAGCTCACTTGCATTTACAAAGTGACCAGCTAGTTCAGGTCTACAAATATTATTTCTTAAAATGCAGGCTTTTCCAAAAAGGCCTCTAAAAATTGTTCAAATTTGAAATGTTCTAATAAAATCTTTGACAACGGCACAAAATCGAAACTTTCGACGATTATAAATCGAACTTTTTCCTAAATATTGGTACAGTATTTAATTCTGCAACTTGGTCAGTTTTGCCTAAATTGACTGTCAAAAACGGTTTTACCAGCGAAAAAATGAAAAAGTTCTGCCTTCTAGCTGGTTACTTCAATTTTGCCCACTCTGTATAAAACAGATCCAGAAATTTTCTGTTCAACAGAATGGCTGTTCTTGGGCAGCAACAGGGCTAAATAAGAGTCGAAACGTGGTCCAAAGTAAAACAGTGTTTTTCCGTCATCCATTGACCAAATATATCACTATTTACTTTAACATTTTCGTCCAGCCGTTGGCAAAAAAACGCTGTTTTGCTTGCGCGAATGTTTCGGTAGATTTAAGTCCTGATGATGGTTGAACGCGTCGCAAACCATTTGCAAATCTTTGATCAAAAATCCACCATTCCAGTCACATTTTTGGCCATTAGTTTGCAAAAATACGCTGCTTTTCTTGGACGAGTTGAATAGTGAATGTTTTTTCAATGACGGGAATGGGCCCAAGAAGAAAGGCGCATTTTCCGCAAAACATTGACCGAAAAAGGCGGGTCAAAAAGTGGATCTAGTGGTCGATGGTTGTTTAGCTTAGTTAGGTTTTAGGTTTTTAAAAAAGCGCTACTTTTCTCTGACTAACTCTTCGGCTTTATTTTAGTCATGATGATAGTCTGCCCGCTTTCAGTCAGCATCAGGGATAAAATATAGCGAAAAACGCCGATTTGATTTTTTATTTGATTTTCATTTGATAAAAACGTTTTTCAAATATGCGCCATGTAAACTGGGGGACGCAAGCAACAAAACTTTTTACAAGCAAAATTTTACAAAAAAAATGCATCCGCACTTAGACTTAATTTCCAAATGTAGCAATTTGTTTTGTATACAATTTACATTTTATTACATTTTCAAATCCTGAACAGACAACACGAGAATGCGCCGAGGAGTGCAGCTCATAAAAGCCATAAACCACGGAAACCTAGAAGGAAATTTAATAAAGAAATATTAAACAGACACTTAGCTCTAATATATTCAGGAAAGCCTCATGAAGTATTATCATAAATACGATATATTTTATGGGCAAACAGGGGCGGAACAGTGCGGCATATGTAGGCAATTTTTTAAAGTTTTGCATTTTTTTTAAACTTGCAGGGGTTTGCCGAAGTAGTCGAGACCAACAAGCCTTAAGGTTTGTTGGTCTCAAGAAGAAAAAAATAATAGTTTTCGTGCACCTTTTGAGAATAGCTAAAATTCCAAGAATTCCATTCTGATAATAGTAACGAATTTAAAGCTATAAAAATCGTAGAGGCATTTACGGTGGATATTTTTAGAAAATTCAATAAGCTCCTCAATGTCAGGAATGCCAAATAGGCACTTATTAAACGAAAACAAACTGACGGTTTGCCGGATGCAATCACCGTTTCGTTCAGTTGCAACCTATTTCGGGTTTACTTTAGTCGTTTTCACATCGATTCGGTTGCTTGAAATCTCGATAAATCGAGACAACTGAAAAAAACCACAGTTTTTACTTTTGCTCAAAGTTACCCGATGGAATGTTTTTAGGCGTTAGCAAGATGACATGAACGAAAAAATCGAAAATTTGAATTTGAAAATTGGATCAGTTATTAATAGTCGTTTGAACCGTCCATGTAACTATTCTCTAAAAGGCTTGCTAACTGGAATAATGGAAATTATTGCACATTTTGAGCCATTTTAACTGTCGTTTGTTGAGGGATCTTAATCGTTAAGAGGCGAAATTTGCCTTGTTACCGCTGCCAACACTTTATACATACACGAAATGAAGAATAAAGAACTTTTTTAGTGTAAAGTTTTCACTGCTTTGGCTTCAAAATAGCGCATTTCAATTTCAAGATTTTAAAATTTCTTCTCCCTAGCAAGATTGAGCGCTTTGCAGCATTAATTTCATTTATGAAAATTAATGCAAAAATGCAAATCGAAAAAATTTTCGATATGAACCATTGCTTAAATTCCATGCTTTTTGTTGCCGCCTCATTTCAAAACAATTATGAGCCAAAACCTTAATACCTATTTAAAACAAATTTTCTGAACCGGTTAATTTTATGACCAATTTGTGCGCTCAAACCCCTCAATTTCACATAATTACATGATCATTTGGCACGCATACAAGTCCGATAAAACCATCCACTGCCGTGGATTGATCGAAAAACCCATCTGCTTTTTGCTATTAAAATTTAGGGACTGTTGTCTAGTAATTTACATTTATGGCCCCAGTTTTTTCACTTCTCCTGTCTAGTCCCAGCAATGTCTTTCAATCACTCTGACTAAGGTTGATCAAGGTAATTAATTTCAGAAATGGTAAGTCCTGTATAAACCACTCAATTGCTAATAAGGCTTGTCAATAGAGTACGTTCGAACCAGACTACACTTTGAGTGAAAATGAGGCTCTTTCCCACTTACCCGCTATTAAGGTGAACATAGACAAAGTATCAGCTGAGATTGGTTCTCTAGTCCTCTATTCTGTAGTGGATAGCTATTTAATTATTTTATTCAGTCAGGTTGTCTAGTGAATGTGAGGAAATTTATCGTTTAAGATCAGAAAATTCCTTGTTTTCGATCTTAAACGATAAATTTCGATGGTTTTCATAAGATCTCTCTTAAAAAGAGGTTCATTTTTACTAGCTGCAAAAAACACCAAAGAGAAAGTTGCTATCAAATGTGCTCTTTGAACGGAACATTTTCGCGTGCCTGAACTCTAGCGCGACTTCAGAAAATCTCCTTGCATAGAAATAATCCTATCTGATTCATAATTCAAGATGTTTTTCCAAAGCTCTCACTTAAAAAGAGGTTTATTTTAATTGGCTTCAGAAAACATTGCGAATATAAAATGTGCTCTTTAATATGAACATATCCTCTGCCCTGAACTCTAATGCAACTTGAAAAAATCTCCTCTGTTGTACTGGGGCTGTAGTTTTAATAGGGAATTCAAATAATTTTTTTCGGAAATTTAATTCGATTAGAGGATGAGTTGCCCGTTTTGAAATACGAGTTAATTCCTGGAGGGTGTTAAATCAAGCTGTCAAAACGTTTGAAAGCATCATTAATAAAAACCATCTGGTCTAGTTAAAGGTATTTAAATAGGAAGTTTTTTATGGGAGTTTGCGTGTCAGGTAAATAATATTTATCGATCCGATCTGGGCTAAGGGCCGGCCGTTTTTTCATGTAGGCCGCTCATCAATATGATAATTGAGTGAGTGAAGAAAAGAAAGCATTAGATTGCTAACGATACTTCAGCGGAAAGTTTAGTTGAAAGATAAAAACCTGCTGGGGGATTCGTATATATTAAAACAGCATCTTTTGTGTATAGTTTTCGTTGCTAAATTCTATGAAAGGTAAGCCTGTTCGGAGGATTAGACTGAGTCCACACGCGAATATAAATTAGTACTTGCATCCACCCTTGCCATACGTTAAAGCCGTTAAAACTCTCCAAAAGCTGAGTTTAAGCTGTGCAGCTTAAATTGCTGAATAAACATATTTCACGTTTTGCTTCATTGTTATTCCGGTGTTCGGTTGCGTAAAATAATCCTGGCCTAACGATGGTTATTGATATTTTTCTCAACCATCCAGTTTCCCACTCATTAGACTAGAACTGACTAGATAATGAGCCGAAGTGCCTTAAATGATTATTCAACGAATCTGTCACATAAATTCAGTTATACGTTCGTTGAAAAGGAATTTAAAAAGCATCAGGCGTAATAAAATTAAAAGTTCTTTCCGGCCGAATGGGCCTAAAGAATTGAGGAAAATATTAACAACAGCTCAATTAACGAGCACCATCAGCCTTGATAAGCCGAGGCAATTAGTCAACGTATAAATAGACCCAATTTTATTTTTGACTTTTCTTTCAGTTCAAATCGATTGCGATGTCATTATTGTTAATTCCTTCGGAAAATTTATCGTTTTTCTATCTGCAGATTATTGTCATTTTCTCGGTTTTTATATCAGCAAGATTGATTTGAAGATAACTGAAAAAAGCGAAAATAAAAAATTAAAACAAAAGTTTTGTGGTTGGAGAAGAACAGGTTTCTACCGCAAGAAATTCGACGTTCTTTTTTTTTTAAGTTTAAACAATTCAAGTTTTACCCATTTGAAAACAACTTAAATTCAAACTTCGGCGGCTTTTGAAACAGTTAACCGAATTCGAATCAGCTTGAGGCAAAAAGGCAATAAGGAGTGAACATGGATTTAGAAAATGGAAGCAAAACAGCGGAACAGACCAAAAAAAAAAACGTTTAAGCGGAAATCCAAATGATCGACTAACTATTCACAATTTACAACATTTTTACACTTAGAACGGTTAATAGATATTATTGAGCAAAATACACTTTGGGTAGGATACTGGTTGAGACGCAAGAAAACACTTTTTGTCCAAAAATAGTGTATATTTTTGCGTTCTTTACAGTGTCGTGCCCGGAAGAATCGGCACAACTTTGTCCTCAAACTATGAAATAGAAGAGAAAGTGTTGGTTGCAAAGCTGTGGCGAAATAAGCAAACGAAGAACTAGAACAACATTTCATAGTACTTTCAATGATAGAAAAGAAAACTGACAGAAAGAAGTAAGAAGGAGCACAAAAAGTCGTTAAAACAAACAAAAATAGTAAGCAATTAATGACCAATACAGGTTTTGAGGAATTTCATCAAACAAAATCAATTCAACTAGCGACAAAGGAAAGTACGAGAAACTATTCCGAGCTGTTGATCATATTGACTAGGGCTTTGACGCAAATAAATCAGATAGGGCGTCCCAAACAGACCCACCGGAAATCAGACAATCAAGCGGCAATTCATCTTAATAAAGTAAACTAAACCTAATAAAAACCAAAGCAAGAGTGAAATAACACCCCGAGAAACATTTATTAAAATAGCCACGTCGTTGGCTTTTATGTGGTGCTTTTAAGGGTGCGAAAGGCAATAAAAGGAAATATTAAGGGTTGCATTGTGCCGCCGTGCTCCAAGGGATAAAATAAGAATATAAAGGTTCGACTTGCTGTACGTACAGTTCTAAGCCGTGTAGAATAAAATCAAATTTACATATGAAAAGGTTCCTTTAGGAGATCCTACATGGGAGGTATGTCAGAAATGTTTCATTCAGGCATTGTGAGACCCGCTGAAAAAATCCTTGTCCGAATCAGCGTTCAGAGTAATTAGCTCGGGTTGTTGCAGGAAAAAATCAGTTAATCTGCAAAATGCCCATTGAATAAATCTTGGGGCCTCGTTGCCGAAAATAAACTTAACCGAAATTTACATAGAAAAGGCAGTTTTCCTTGCGGCTGTACTGTTAGCTTTGCAGGTAGGTTTTGTTATGCGTTTTTTCGAGGGTAAAAATATCCGTTTCAGTACATCATAAACGTGCCAATTCACTGACAAAATGTCTCTTCACAGTCTTCGCGGCCGTAGTTTCATGCATTCAGCTTTGTTGATTTGACGCAAAGATGAACCAGAAAACCCCGAAAAGCTTTCCTGATTTATTTCCAACGAATCGTTTAGAAATAGCCCTGCCTTGTGAGCAATAAAACAATTCTGTAACACAACTACTACTACATACTCACGCTGTCTAGGGGATTATTCCCGAATTTTTTTGGCAATCATCCAACTATTCGAAGCGGCTGAAACTGTAATTACAGCATTGTAATATGATTTGCAAAAGGTCGCCTGCCCTGAACACTTGTTCAACCAATCAAACAGACGCGCCATGTTAATTAGCAAGAAGGAAATTAACTTTTTCCCTGTCAAAAGTTATAAATGTGTTGGCTGTGTTTAGCTACTAAGCTCATGAGCCATATCGATGGCGCTTAGATGAGATTCAGCTTTTTCAATCTTCTTTTGCAATTTTTTCAAGTGTTCAAATGTTTTTTTAGCGCCAGGAGTTGGCCAATTCTGTAATTGCGTCTACAATGATAGATTTCTTTGTAATGACCTTCAACAGATTTGGTCATGCCGAAAGTACTAGCCTTTCATTGTTCTTCATTCTGTAAATTTAATTTTTGCACATTTTATTAATATTTGCTGTTGTGTATAAAAATCTACTACTATTAATGCAGAAGCAGAGTTTTAAAATGGATTCTTATCAACATATTTTTAAACTTTTTTGATTTTCTTTTTACTTTGATTTCAGCCAGTTGTTATAAATCAAAAACATGATATTTTTGTAAATACGTTTAAAAAAAATATATATTTTTGACAGACAAACAGACATACATTCATTTTTATATATATAGAGATTATTTATTATTTTTCTACAGGCAATCACAGGAAAATGTGCGCTTAGATAATGGTTGGTTGAAAATTGCTTCATTTAGAAATTTTCACTGTTTTCATGGTCAATTTGTTGAAAATTTATTAGACCAGCAGAACATTCAACATTTTTTTCCAAATTTCTCCACTTTAATCTTTTGGTGTGATTCTAAATCTGTAACTGTATTAATTCTTAGCTTAAAAATGTATTAGTTAGAATGGGGCGTTTTACGTAAAAAAACCAAAAAAAACCTTTTTAATATGGATGAAGCAGGGATTTAAAAAAAATTGGTGCAAAAGCAGTGGCGGATCACAAAATTGCTTTCCTATCTACTCGCTTAACGATAAAGAACTAATTGGGAACATCAGCGTATTTGATGTGCTGAAATCACATTTGTGGCATTCAACGACGTTTTCATTCAATTTACTTAATTAAAGAAAAGAAAAGTAACCAAGCAAAGCAAATATACTCACATTAAACTGGTATTGAAAAAATATTCCAAATTGGTCTAAATTAAAAATTTTCGTTTGGAAATTCGTAACAAAATCGAAACAACAAAACCGAGGATTTGGGATTTAGCCCAAAGGATTTAGTATTTTCAGTCTTGTAGAATTTTTATATTCAACTTGTAATTTATTAAAAAATTATATGTAGAAGGAAATTAAAAAATGGTCTTTGTAGTTCGACTTAAAACTTCAGTAAAAATTGCCATTTTCCAGTTTTATCTTTTTAACTCACTTTCGACGAGTCATGAGGCAGTGTGATGAAAATTGTACATACATTTTCGAAATTTGTGATTAATTTAACAAGATATTACATTTTTAATAAGCATTAATGAAATATAAAAAAAATAGACCAAAACCTTGCAAAACGAAGTGCCGGATCACAAAATTTCCTTCTAGACTTTTTACTTAAAGGCAGGTACATTTGCTGATTGGATGCAACGGTGTAATTTAAAACAAACGATATATTTTAATTAAAAAGAAAACTAGTACTAAAATAGAAGACGCGGATAAAACGAATATGAATTAACAAAGAACTATCTATGGGATTGAGTCACATTAACTTCAGTCTTGTAGAATTCATCTACCTTTTATCTTCCATTCGCAATTTAATAAAAAGTATGCAAACAATGTCTTGATACAATAGAGAAAATGGTATTCATTCTGAAAGAAAAACGTTTCAGTAAGAAGAGCGTGATGAAGTATTTTATTAACTTTTGCAGAATTTATAAGCGGCTTTGTTTCGAAGCGCTAAAACTCACATTTTTAAGAGGAGCAATATTCCTATTGAAACTTTCAAGCAAAACAAGTTCGGAATTGGACCTTTTTCGTTGAAAATTCGTGGCAAAATCCAGGTAAAAATATTGAAAGTGAATATATTAAAATCGTTTAATTAATTCCCTTAATTCTAAAATAGCCGCCCTTCAACAGCTTGAAATCCCCCAACTGATTGCCCACCTTTGACGACCGTGGTTATCAATTACCACTTAATAGCGCCCTGAAAACGATTCCTGCTTTTAATAAAGTATTAAAAATTCCGTTTAAATCATAATTGATATTCCGATGATAAAAATTTCGTATTAAAACCGTCCGCAGTTCGTCGGCCGCTCAAATTTTAGTCACCCTAAATAAATTTCATTATTTATGCCTAATATATTAAGGATACCGGAGCTAATTTTATGCAAAAATTAACGTCTGGAAGTTTCCCTTTCGGAATTATTCTCGAAAATTTTTCGGCTGCTTTGCATTCTCCCTTGCCGGGGATTAATTTTAATTTACTACGGTTAATAATATGTTTTAAATTAACGATCTACTGCGCCCTTTTCAGTCTCATAATGTGATTATTAAATTAATTTTTATTAACATTTTCTAATTTGCTTAAGTGTGAATTTTATGCAGGAGCAGCTCTAAAGCAAGATGCAAACCAAACTACCTCATCGCCTTCTTCAGTGTTTTTCGCTGATAATTCCCGAAGAAACATTGAAGCCATTGAAGGCCAAACCGTCGTCATTCCATGTACAGTTCGAAACTTAGATCGAGGAAAAGTGGTAAACATCAGCAAAAATTAGCGCTTTGAGTAGTTTTCATGCTTGTTTTCAGGTTTCCTGGATTAGGACCAAAGATATTCTCATTCTCACTTCAGGCCCTCATACATTTGCCAGCGACTTTCGGTTTGAGGTGATCCATTCTGAGAAAAATGTTGAGTTTTGGGGTTTGCGGATCCGAGGCGTTAAAGAGGACGATGCAGGGCAGTATGAGTGCCAAGTGAACAGCGAACCCAAAATGAGTCTAGCCTATCAGCTAACAGTTTCTGGTAAGAAGGAGTGACTGAAAAATTGATTTTCCAAACCATAGTCTATTGCGGTTTTTCTGCACTAAGTTCAAGAAGAATTGACCGATTAATCACAAGGAAACTTGTAAGCAAAACTTCTTCAAACAATCCCTTTCGTCCGCCTTTTCAATATATCAAAGGTGACTTTTTGAATTATAAGGGTAGAAACTAACAGGCGAAACGGCACTCGAGGGGAATTTGACGATTAAATTGGACATATCTACGGAGGGTTTTCTCGATCTAATTATTGAAAAACTAATTGGGTTTTTTTTCGTCGACGGTCCCAGTCGATAAAAACACGGAAATTCGGCTAGAAGTAATTAAATGTGAACGATAAGTTTTAGTGGACTTTGAGCCAAAGTTTCAGTGATGAGCGCAAGCACGCAAGTTGCGCACTTGTTCAAGAAGAGGATTTTTTCCCATTAGGCTTATTGTTGGGGGTTGCGAAAAAATCGCCGGATTTCGAATCAGGCATTAAACCGGTTATTACGGCAATTGAAAAATCCATTCACCATCAGATGAGGTGCTAACTTCAAACTGTAAATATTTTCGCAGAGTAAAGCTATAAGAGAAAACATAAATGAGGATTTAAGTAGTTTCGACTGCAAACAAGCGTTCGGTTTTATTGCCATTTTATCGAATATAAGTGTTTATTTGAAAGCTATTCGAATGATCAATAAAACGCTGTATATCGGAAATAGGTCAGGTGAGGACGGTTTTCAACGACTTTTTTGTTTTTGTGTTTTTGATTTTTTTTGATTTTAGGGAGTCTTTGAAAAAATTGGAGATTTTATTGGATTTTTTAGCATTAGGAGAAGCCGAGGATAGTTCAAAATGGTTGGGTTTTGCCAAAGTCCAGGAACCAAAAGAAGCATACGTCCAACATGCGTCTGCTTTTTCCATCAGTTGCGAAATATTCCCGATGTTCACCAGAAATGTTAATATGGATGTTTGGTGGCTGCACGATGATACCCAAATTTCGTCAGATGTAACTTAAAAAAAAAACCATTAAACTTTCCATAAGCCTGATTTTTTGCACTTTCCAGACCAAAGAGTCCAGGATTTCAATAAAGACGTCGTTCAACAAGGAAAACAACATCATTCACAGCATTCTAAGCTTCGATTATGTAACGTGGCAGGATTTTGGCCTTTACACCTGTCTTCAGCCCTCTGTACGGAAGGATAGCTTGAAGCTGGTTATAGTTGAAGGTGAGTCCAGTGGGTTGAAATTAGTTTGTTTTTAATCTCGGTTATTTCCAGCTGAATCATCTGAAGCGATGCAAAGGGATTTTCCATCGCCGTCCAGTTCAAGCCCAAAATTTAGCGGCATTTTGCCATTTAATGTCGTTTATCTTTTACTTGTAAACATGTACCTAAGATTAGCAGACTGATGTAGAGCTAAGCAGATTGAATGTAAATACAATTTAAATAAATTATTAATTTGCTCTTTGAGGTTGATTTTTTTCCCAGTCAGTTGCAGAAAAAAATATTTCTAGGAACATTGATGCGATTTGCCGAAAGTTCTGCTGAGTGTCGCATTACCTAAATAAAACTGGGGTCACCAGCAGATTTTATTTGCTGCATCTTAGTTTTGAATTGCGTAAATTTCAATTCATTGACCCCAACAGCAAGAAAAATGTTGGCTTTTATCTTCACCTTTTTCAGTTTGTTTTTTTTTCGATAGTTGTTACTTGTATTTTGGCAAATTGGCACGAGCAAACACGACCCTAAGCTAATAACTGGCAGTGCATTCGACAGCAAAATTTGCATTATCGGGGCAAATTGTCAATTTGGGACATGGGCAATGCCATTAGGATTTGATTGTTAGATAAAATACATCGAATGACTGTTTATTTTAGCAATAGTCGCCGGGATTTGCCCAATTGGTATACATTTTATTGGCTGGCGTTCAATGGACTCTTAAATAAACGCACAATTTGTCTGTTGCTCACTAATCCACAGGTTTATTTGCCTAATCACTGCCGCATTACGAGCTAATTTGAAGCAAAAAACCTCCCTTGAAACTAATACTTGCCATTACATTCATTGACCTTAATTAGTGGCATGTTTGGAATTTTTTAATAGTTTGAGTTTACGAATTCGGAAAAATCATTATTTAATAATTAATATGTTAATTTTATTGTTTTATGATAAAATGATTAAAGTTACATCATATCAACGATTACAGTTAGCAGTTTTAGTTTGTGCAAAATTCTAAATTGCCCAAGCAATTGCTATACAAACGGTAATAATTACGGTAATAATGGATCCAGATTTCAAATGCAAATTAAACTTCGAGATTAGAATGCACATGCATGGTAATTAACCGAGAGCATTCGGGAAAGTTGAGAATTTACGTCTTCGTCGTACGGTTACATACAAGACCTCAAAAACCACAGAACAAACAGTTTTAGATCGTTTTTGACTTGTGTTTACTTCCAATTTATTTGCCTGCAAATAGATAAAGAATAAATAAACAATTGCTGATTCTGGTTATTTGGAAAAATCGACCTCTTATGAAATTTTCGACCAAAAATCAAAATTTCGCAATCGTGTTTTTTGCCCTTATTGGATTGTTTCCGACCTAAGAAGTTGCCCAATAGCAAACATGCAAGTTGTGGGTCGAAAATAAGGAAGATATCGTCTGTCGAAGATTGCGACCGCTCAAAAACCGTTCAAAATACATAGGAAATGTTGATTATTTGGGAACTGGAAAGGCCCCGGTGTCTTTTTATTAGTTCAATGCATTCCTTGTCTCTTTCCGATCAAAATGATGTAGCAGTCGAGGTATTTTGAAAAACTTGAATTTTTTGGAAAAATCGATCTCTTCTATCGACGAACTATTATTACTATTAGCAAATACTGAAATTCGTAGAAGTAAAGTAAAAGTTTTCAGATAGTTTTTCCGCAAAAACTGAACCTATACACGACTTTGGTGCCACATTGAAACGCTTGATATTAACACTAAAATAATATGAAAATTGCGAAAATCGTCCGAATATTGAAAGTGAATATCCTGGCAGCAGCTCGTTGGGCTAAGAAAAAACGTGCCTTTTGGAAAATATGTTTGCTTGATATTTCCAGCATCATTTCAGCTGGCCACACTTTAATGAAGTTTCTGCCATTTTTTTGTTCTGGAGCTTTAATGGCAATTAGAAGTTGAATAAATAACCAGAAATAAGTAAATTACTGGAGTTGTAAAAAATTCTGCATTTTTCTGTAACCAGAATCAATAAATAAATATACATAAGGCCACTAACACGAACAACAAAGCACGCAAGGAAAATCACAGTTTAACAGTTCCATGGAGGCGTATGCACAATTAGAACTACCAAACAAGCAATTTCAACACGTAAAATGGCAATGAAAAAATCGTCCATATGGAACTCCATTGCGGATAATACTAAGTACAGCGTAAGCATTTCGTCAATAAGTGGAGTCAGCTATATCTGCAATAATGGCAAAAGGAGCTTGATTGAAAGGTAAAATTCGAGTTTTCCGACTGGAGAAAATCATGAGTCTTGCGTTTGCAGGATTTTCTGGATCGGCATGGTCATCTGTATGATAATCTTAGCCGCATGGCAAGGTTTATCAGTTTACACGCACTATAAGGAAAGGCCAGTTATTGTCACTGTGGATAATGCGTATTTCGAATGGAAATTTGAATTTCCTACTGCCACAATTTGCTCAGTTGATTTAAAGCCGGACTCTCAATTGAGGACTATTATAGAAAAACTGAACTTGTAAGCTAAAAATTTCCAAAATAAACTGCTCAACAAAATCAAAGATACACCGACAAATTTGGATCAACTTTGAATAAAGTCTGTTTGCAGCAAAGGATTCTATTTCGTGAAAATCGGACCAGGAGAAGACAAATTATCGCTGAAGAAAAAAAATTGATGTTTTGAAACTACCCTGTAAACAAAGGAGATGGCTGAAAAAAATTCAAAAAGCGTTTCGACTTGTTTGGTTTATATTTAAACTTTTGGCGCTGATATCCAAAAAAACCATTTTGTTTCAACTAGGAGCGTGAGGAAATTGGCGAAATTTTGCATTTTTTATTTGCCACTCTGTAGAAAATTTGTCTGAGGTGCTTCATTTTTACCAACACATTGACTACGAAAAACCAAATGGGGCTCAAAAACGCTTCAAACAGAAATTAAATCGCTTGAAGCAATCAGATTTTATTCACTTTTGAATTTGGGTGTGTAACGTTCAATTTGTTGAGCCTTTTATTTCACTAAAACCATCCACTTTTCTTTAAGGAAGTTGAACATTTCCAGACAGTTGCTTCGAAGTGAATATGCCGATTTTATCAACTACCTGCAAGACTTGGCGTTCAAAAATTACATGAGCTACCATGAATATAAGGAATATTCCGCGAGGATTAAACGGGAATTTTTGCACCCTGATCAGTACATGGAGGTATGGGAGATTGACTCAAGCCTCTTCACTAGCCGGATTTATGCCCGCTAGATTTTTCCAGTAGCTGTTTAGACAAAAGCAATTACTCACAACAGTTTTAGTTACAGTTAATTTTAGGTTCTAGATGAAGTGACTTTAAATATTGCTGAAACAACAGGGAAACCAGCGATAAATTTCCCGATGAAACAGGTGAGGCCGGTGTTAAGAGTGTTTACTGAATGGGGCCCTTGTATGGTAGCGAATCCGAATGTGAGCATTTACTTCACTCCAAAGTAGGTACAAATTTTCCTCCAATATTATTTGCGAATCAACTTGCGAATATTTCAGATATTTCAATTCAAGCAATCTGTATGCAGACTATCAGCCGATAGTTTTCACGGTCAACGATTTGACGAGTTTTTTGTTTCAGAAACCCAACTCCACAAAGGGAGTGAGTCATGTGAGTAAAACAGTGTTGCAAAAGTTTGCTGGCTCTATTTCGGGTTTTACAGATTTACTTTCACGCTCCAAACGAAGTGATGGAGATTATGGATCGAAAGGATACTCTCCCGCATCAGCGTTTTCTTACTTCGAAATACGAAGCAGATGTGGTCCAAACGAGTCAGAATGTTTTACCCTTAACTGTCGAAGTAGGTTTGAACAGTAACAATATAAATGCTTGAAACTGTCTGATTGGTTCGGTTTTTTGTACACATTTTTGTGGTTTAAGCAAAAAAACTGCCGGCTTCCCCTGGATTATGGCGAAGAACCTCTGCTACATAGTCCAGTTTATAGTTACAACCTGTGCAAGTTTGAATGTCGGATTAAAATTGCTTTAAAGTATTGCAATTGCACACCCTATTATTATAGGCGATTAGGTACGTACCGGTTCCCGGAACAATTATTTCCGTGATTTGTTGGTGCCAAATAAAACTGTTTCTTTTAGCTCACGAGCCGATTTGCAACCTGAGTGGACTCTACTGCCTATCGAAATACAAAAGTAAACTCAATGGCAAAACAGCATATAAGAACATACTTTTTTCTCGATTTCAGCACAACTGATTTATGCCCGGGACAGTTCCATCGAATGCCCAAATTGCCTGCAAAACTGCGATGTTTACGTATTCCGAGGATACGAAACGGCTTTACCGTATACTTTCCTGCAAACCACTTTGGATACTGGCATTATCTTCCCTAACATTGTTTATATTCGAAACTTAGTCTATTCGAAGATAGATTTAACAGGTAAAAGAAATACATTCTAAACATCATAAGAAACCTACCAGTTAGAATATCTGGATTGTCTAGACAAAAAAATCCAAACAGTATCTGGCGAATTTACTACAAAAACATTTGATTTTAAAAAACCGTTCACTTCCTTGATTTTTTACGATTTTTAAAGAAAAATTATTGCGGCTTCCCCCAAATTAAAGTTTTCAGGTAACTAAATCCTCATTATTACTGAAACGTTGTGTGTTTATTTTGTTTGTATAAGTTAATATTGTCTCTAGAAACGTGCACATTCAGGTACTTTGTTGAAGCTCTAAAATAAGGCTTACCTACACTTTGCAGGAAGTTTAACGTTTTAGTTTGCCGGTTAGTTGCAGTTTAAACTTGGACCTATTGGATTTATATTGGCTTCGTGAGCGCAGTTTCTCAACTTTATTTCCTGCTGGAAAAAGTTATGTTGTTTTGAGCGATTATGCGTTTTTAGTGCAGATTGGCGGCCTTTTTGGACTGTTCTTGGGCTGCAGTCTACTTAGTCTTGTGGAAGTTGTTTATTCCTTAACCATTCGCCTGCTGTGTGGATTGATAAGCAGGAATGAGTAGCACTCTATGCTGTTTCAGGTGACTTAATTTTCTACAAACTTTAAGAAGATTTTGAGCTTTCAAGTCATCTGATTGACTTGGGCATTGATTAAGGTAAATAATTTTGTAATGTAAATGAGCAAGTTTGCGATCCTGCTTACTTATACATTCCTAACTTAATTGAAAAACTTTGAGCGCAATCCAAACTGGATTTTCCTTGATCAGAATTAATAACATCAGAATGCTCAATTTTCGTCTTCCACTATAAAGCATTGATAAGGAGGACAAATCCAATTGGAAAATAAATCGAAAAGAAGGAAAGCCTGCCGTTGCCTTCTAATAAAGTGTACGATTTTATGTCAGAATTAACACTCTTGATGTTCCCAAATGACTAAGGAACTTTGCATTTTAAACAGAGGGTAGTAATCAGAAACCGATTTTCTCGCTCGCTGCCAGCTTTAAATCTAAATTTCGATTTCCGTCAATGTCTTTTTCTTTTAACTACATTGAAAGGAGAATATGTTTGAACAATCAATCGTATCTCTGATTAGCATGGAGTTTTTGGCAAAATCAAAATTTTTATACAAAATAAAGTACTTGTATGTAACGCAAAATCTAAATTGCTCAGGTGGCCGGTGACCAATAAAAATAAGGGAGTTTTCGGTTTAAGGTCGCGAGAAAAGCAGAAAACCTCCTTTGTAAGAGGCTTCAACCACGTTGAAAGTTAAGCTCAGTTGAGCCATTAATCACATAGATACAACTTGTACTGTGTTGCCGATTTTCAGTTTAAAATTCGATTTTCTTGTTCATAAAACCAGCCCGGCTAATCCAGCGATTTACGTTGAAATAATCAATGACTGATTGGGTGATTAGGGATTAGAAAATTGAGTGTGTTAGATATTTGGCGTCTGACTATATAGATTGCGTTCTTGCAGAGAAAAGTTCTTTGTGTTTCAAAAGGCATCGAATTCTGAGCTTCACCGGCTTTGGACACGCTGGTTTTGAAATTAGAGTTTCCAGGCGAGACCAAGTTCTTCAAAAAATCGTCACTTCCAAGCCAACACATGGAGAAACTTGAATTTTTCATAATATATTTCATCAACGTTCGCACATCATGCAGTCATTTGTAAACCAATGCGAGTTAAAACTGAAAATTTCAAAAAAAAAGTAGAGGAAATTTTCGATCAACTCCAATTTTTACTAACTTTATTGAAGGTTCTTACGCAACAGCAATTTTTATTTTTTTTAAATCGTGGATTCCAAGTCCACGAAAGAAGAAACTTGTAAATTTTGGAATGTATAGCAAAGACATGAAGCTAAAACAGCCGTAATTTTCATCTAAATCGCATAAAATTGTGAGTTTTCTCAATTTGGGACTGCTGGTTTTAAAATGAACGTTTTCCGCCAACTGCAGGCTTTCTTTTAAAAATTGGCAACTTTGAAGCCAAATCAAGTATAAACTTCAAACTTTCACTGTATATAGCAGAGGATTAAGGCTGAAGGCTGTGGAATTTTCCTATGAATCACATTGAACTACAATTTTTGCCAGCTTTGAAAATATCGGCCCTAATTGAAAGTTTTCCTATAACTGCAAGCTCTCTTTCAAAATTTCGCAACTTTCAAGCCAGAGCAAGTATAAACTTTGAACTTTCACAGCATATAGCAGCTTATTAGACCCGCAGATTGTAAAATTGTCTTTTTAAGCACATTGAAATACAATTTTTGCCAATTTTGAAAATACCGGTCTTAATTGAATGTTTGCATGCAACTACAAGTTGTTCTTTAAAAAATACTAACTTTTATTTTATACGTTTACACGTATTTTCAATCATTGAAAGCTCTCCTTTAAAAATTCGTAACTTCTAAGTCAGAACTATCAGGAACTTAAAATTTTTACAGTACTAGAGCACTAACAATTGATTTTTTTGCATCATTGCGAAGTCTGGTCTTAAAATTAATGTTTCCACACAACTACAAATTGGGCCTACGATTTGGATATCTGACCGGTGAATAATGTAAATGACTAATTTTCATCTAATCTTCCCGCAGATTCAGATCCTGGAAACAACGCCAAATATTTTACACGGAACAGTGAGTGTTAAAAAACTCGGAAAAATGGGCTATTAATTAGATAAATTGAATAAGAATTGGTTGGAACATCAAGCAAAAAACAAGCCAACACTCAAAATGCAATTTTATTAAATTTCTCTAATACTTCTGATTAAATGAACGAACAATCATTCTAGATGTTCTTCGACAATTAGTCGCAAGCTCCATTTTTCACAATCATCAAAGTGCTGCCGAGTCCTCGAGCCCTCAAAGTGGCCAGATCACAGTCAAACGTGCAACGATTACTGTAAGTGACACCATCGGAACCACATAATGGTTCGTAGTTCATTGGACAGATACACAGTGGAGAATCAATGGGTTCCGCACTGGACACTTCATAGCTGATGATAGCCAGCAACAAAATAGCTAGAAAACACTTCATCTTGGTTCGAAGTTTTGCTTGCAATGGTTTCAACTTGAAGCGCTTTATTCATTTTATTGTGTTATCAACGGCTTTACGTGCCAGACTAAATGATTGATCGTGTAATCTCGATTGGAATGTGATGGAATCATCGGCTTCTACGCGGTGAATTTTTTGCGTCGAAACTGGCCGGAGTTGGCTTTTGTTTAATCGCGCATTTGGAGTTGGTTTGAAAAAATCAACCCAGGATTATTCCTTAAAAGTCTTGTCAATTGCTTTATAATCCATTCTGATCATTTGCCTTGATTGCCAATTGACGCAAAGATAATCCAGAAAAATCCTACAAATTGTGGCGTAATAATCTTCAAAAAGTTCAACAGAACACAAAATTCCACCTTTGGTTCGCCAAAAACACTTGAAGAAGCCGAAACAACATCAGGAACATTTCTGTTTGCACTTTATAAATATCCACCGTTCAGATAACTTATCCAAACACAATAAATCATGGATTTAAACGGATTACCAGCCAAGTTCAGTAGCAAAACTCGACGAATCCTTATAACAAATATTAGTGAATTTCATATCGCGACACATGAAGATTCCCGGTGAAGTGCAAACAAAATGAAACGCATTCTCACGCTGCTGTTATGTTTCCTGATTCTGATCCATCAGGTACATCCGATTGACGCATATGAAGACGAAGTTCCGGTGAAGAAGAAGAAAAAACGAATCCTGCAAGATATTCCTGCAGTCGATGGGTTTGACCCAACGGATCCCAACTTGGACCCCAATGAACCGCTGGTTAGCATTGAAGATTATTGCGATTGTGAGCAAAATTATGAGCCGGTTTGTGGATCGAATGGTCAAACGTACAACAATAAATGCATTTTCGATTGCGAGAATCGAAAAATGTTGATGGCCAATCATCCAGGGATCAGTGTGGTTAAGGCGTATCCCTGTGAAGAAGAAGCGGAGTTGTAACATCGAATAATTTTTGTGAATATAATAAATTTGGCCAATATTTGCCTGTTTTTATTTACTTTTTGCCGAACTAAGGTAAGCATCTATTCATCTACTTACCAACTGCCGCTCACGACCTCTGAGGTAAGTTTGCTGATCTGAAATACGTCTAGAATTCACATCCAATTAAACGTCCACCTGTTAGTTTCATCTAGGACTTTATTCTATAATATGTACAATTATGTATACACATGTATTATGAGAGGTTTTAAATTGTGCGGATATAAAAATATTAATTTGAAATGCTTCGAAATTAGGTTTGCTATAAAACATACAAAAACTGATCACTGCGACTACTTTTGGTGGACGCGTCAAGCTTCAACCATGGGTTTTTTTCATGTATTTGTATGATTTTTGAGCAGGATGAATCTAACGCGATTTGTCCAATTGAAAAGAAAAAAACTGGCTTGAATGTTCAATGCATACGTGAATGGATACTGGGTAGTTAATTCACAGAATTTCAAATGAATCCTCACATAAAACCCACTGCTAGCAGTCGCCTAATTCGCTTAACTCTTATGTAGTTAAACAAGTAAAAATCACAGAGTTTACGAAACTAACACCAAAAAACTCTCAATTGATAACCACTTAGAATAAACATCTCTAGAAACTTTAATAGGGAAATAATCTTATATGATAACGTAACTGTATTGGCTTGAACTGATCGTCTCGATAATACAAACCAAAGGCAAGTTATTATTTATCTAGTTATAAGAGTTTCTGTTTTCCAAAACCTGAAACATCTAGTTGCAGTTCTAAAATTAGATAAACATCTTTACATTAAGAGGGTATTTACAGAGTCAACACAATTTCAAATAGTAAAAATCTAGTAACATGAGAATATCTACAGAATTTTGATCAAATTCAATTAATACAGGACAAAAACGTTATTATTTTTAGTGTAGGAGTTATTACAATGATTACTTGATGTCTAGATTTCCTAAATAACTGTGTATTTACTAGTCAGTGATTTGGGATTAGTGTTTAATGAATTTTGGCTGTCTCGTGCTGGTTCCAGCCAAAATCCATTAGAAAAAAATAGTTTGCACAAAACCAAACAATTGCTTCCAACCACACACATATTTACATATTCTGGACGTAACGTTTATTCACTGGAGTGTTCTTTTCAGGTGATCCTTTAGCACCTCATTTCCTTAATGTTTATCACTGAGACAATGCTAATAATGAGCCCCAACGAACTGTTTTAAATATTTTTTTTTTGGTGTGTTTCTACTGCACACTCATCTTCAGCATTATCTTTTACCTATTTAAAGTACATCAGAGAAGGGCATAACATGGATTTATTTTTCTCTCTTAAACATTGTCGCTCGCGTATTTTTATAACATAATTTTAAAATTTATTCAGATATATACTTTGATTATAGGTTCGCTTCGACTTCACATGCTCATCGATGAAGGCCAGTATATTTTGATTACGAGTTCGAAACAATTTTGGAGACTCGAAACGTGTGGAAAGTTAACGAAGAAATGACAATGATTGACATGATCTATTTTTGCCTTGTTACCCTGTTCTAAATTATTACCAACTAACTATCACTCGTGAATATTTACAACAGGTTTACTAACTTACGGTTCTTTGCTAAACAGCCGATTATACGATCACACATAAGATGAGTTCACATTTGCACGTAACTTTGATTTAGTGGTACATTTTTGATTGGTGCTTATGGAAATCAGCTACTGACTACCATTAGGATCACCATCATGCAAACTGGCACCAGTGGAATACAATGTTGGCCACTGCTAGTCTGCATGGCTGCTGGATGTTCGCCTGCAAAAAAAACAAAACATTTCAAGAATGTGAAGCTCTCGTAAAGGTTTGAGAAGACTGAGCTGGTGGGTGAAGGTTTATAAAACCCCTGGACTTAAAAGCGATCTTGAAATGCCTTTTGTGAAACTTAACTTAACTTAACAAGATTAAAGCGCACTTCCACCTGATAAAGTCAGTTGAATACTTTTCCAAAAAGGTTACTCAAACAATTTCCCGGTTAAGCCGAAAGCTACTTTGGCATATCTAATGTTGCACAAATAGCTGAGCTGTCTATCGGGGTTTCGTCTCTATTCAGCCATAATAAATATGTATAATAAATGACCCAATAAAAATGCAGGCACACGTGCAGTTCCCACTCTATTTACTTCACATACACTGTGAGGATCTCTGGAAGCGAATTTAGTTGTGGTTGCAGGAACGATGTCAGATTACATTGTATTCGAGACAGTTTCCATACCAAGAGTATTGAGGGAGGTTTTAGATAAATATGCCTCCCCAATAACTACAAAATACCTGCCGTTTGATGATTTATATTTCATTTTCCTCCTCGGGGTTAGTTGGAGTTTAACTGGCACTTTTCGAGTTCAATACGTGGAATTTGAGATTTCAATGTTTCGGACATCTATTTTAATTAGAGGATGGATTGTTGCTGATTAGTTAAATGTAACTTTTTTGGTTGGAAGTTTTTCAAATTGCAGCCAGTAGCGATTTGATCTTTGTAAAAATGGAAAGGTTTTGCGCGGTTTTGAATTTTTTCATCCTGTGCTTCAACAGCTGGTTTTTATATCAGCATGGGGAAAAAAGAAACTTTTCAGTGGTGTAAATATCTTCTTCGTTGAGCAACAGGTTTATTCGCCAATGTTTTTTAAACCTTGGAGAGTTTTTAGGGATCAAATGTTTTTTTTTTCATTTTGTCATCATTCGTTCAGAAGCGAGTTTCTAAATAAGTGGTCCATATATTGGAATAAAGGTCTCAGCATTCGATACTGGAAACTTCAAGATAAATGTGGACTGTTGTGGTGTAAATATGGTTTTACTTAATCCAACTGTTGGTGTTGGAAAACTCTTGTCAAAATCAAGTTAGGTATTTCGTTGCTGATAGTGATGCGAGCACAGAAGCATTCTTAAATTATGCCGTAGCTTGAATGCGAGTGTACCAATCAACCAGCCTGTACGCAGAATATCAAGGTCAAGTGTCTCAAATTTTCATAAAATTCGATTCAAACGACCGCATTTTATTTCACTTTTCATAATCATTTTCAATTCATTTCATAATCACTTTTATATTTCAATTTTTAGTTTTGTTGTTGTGATTAGAAATACGCACTTTTAGAAACATTTTAATAACATTTTCTTCCTCAGTCAATATTTGACATCAATCTAAGTATACATCTCAAGCATTTCTCTTATTTTCGTACAATAAGTGGCTAGAAAATAGCAATTCCCTTATGCTGCTTCGGCCTATTTATGGATTTCGGGAACATAAAGCAGAAAATAGCAACATAAATAAACATGCCTCGTGGTGCCCTTTTAATTTTATCGGCAAACGACCATAAATGAAAGCGAAACAAAGCAAGCAAACAAACATTTTATTTACTGTTATCACCTTTTTATGGCCTAATTGATAAAAAGTAATGGATATCCATATCGCCCCAGTTGCTAATTGGGGGGATCCCTCACTTAAGTGTTTCCGAATTAAAATCAGGAATACAAAAACAAAAAAGAGCCTAAACTCGGCCTTTCAAAGGCACGAAACACGTTGAAAAAATACAGCACTATCCAACTCCTGCTGAGCGCCATCCCCTTACCTGTAAAACTTCAATTTGTTGTTCTATTTATGTTCGGCGTCAAAGACATCGAGGCACCAGTAAAATAAAATATATTTGATAAAAAGAATATTGAAACGACACTAGCGAACATCTGGAAAGTTTTTGATCAAGCTCGGTAGATATATAAAACGTATTACGGTCTCGTAATGAGTTTGGGCGTAAAGAAGTGGGCTTCCTTGGGGTACATGAAGGTGTTTCCTATTGGATTAACCCCGAGGAGATTGGAGTTTTAATATTAGATGCGAAGTTGGGCGCAAAATTTATTTCCTGGGTAAGAAGTAATCGGGCGGAAAAGTTCAGGTGGAAGTTGTGTTGTGGAATGACTTCCGGCTAGTTCATCACAGCCTCGAATAGTTGGTTGGGCAAAGTTTAAAAGGTTCGATGGAGTTATGAGGGAATCAGCTAAATATAATATTTTAGTGAATTTGCCCGTTTTAAATTTTAATTTGCGATGGTAAAACGTGTTAAGCTTTTCATTCATCAACGGACTTGGACGGGATCAAAAAATTCAACATTTTCTCATTGAAGCATTAATTTTCAAGTTCCCGCTTTTAACAAGTTAATTTTTAATTTTCCATAACATTCAAACTTTCCTAATTCGCCGGTATCCTTTCGTGATTAATGAAGTTGATTTTCCTTTAAAATATTCCAAATAGGAAAGTTTGGTGTTAGTCGATCCTTGTTCCGAGTTGGGCCTAATTGATTTAAGCCGTTTTTCAGTTTTTTCAACTTCCAAACTAACTTAAAACCAATGCGAACGTTATTCTGCAACTTTCGCCGATTTTCGCCGCAACAATTTTTCGCATTTTGGCAGCACATTTTCATCAAATACGGCGCGAAATGCGGCGGAACAGGTTTGAAAATCCGCATTTGGAACTAATTAACGCGCCATCTCATTTTTCACCTAAAAAATGTCAGCTGCTGGCAATTAATTACATTTGACTTTATATCTAGTAAGCAGCCCTTCATATATTTTTTATTTATGTAAACTTGTATGGCCGGACCGAAAAAAACCCATCTATCATCATTAGGGCAGAAAAAAGATGAAGGTAATGAAGCTGTGCCATTAAATATTAAATATTATTTCGCCACAGCCACAGAGAAGAAATTGCGTCTTTCGTTATTAGAATATTTTTCCATAATGTACAGGTTGAATCCAAACTTTATATTCGATCGAAGAAAGTCGAAGAAATGTGTCCAAATTGGGTGGGATGGAATGGCTTTTTTTTTTAACTTACCATTAAGAACATGGACAGCAGCGGAAGCAGGCGTGGCATTGGACGGCATGCAAGTGTAGTTTCCAGAGTCAGAAAGCAGAGCTTTGGTTATAAGAAGCTTGCTAGTCGTCCCAGCTTCAGTTTTTTCAGTTTCTAAACTAATTCCACCTCGTGGAGAGTCGAAGTCAACCACCGATTTTCCGTGATACCTGAAAGGGTGGCAGGCATTAAAACATTTTGGTTTACGCGATCTTTCAAGCTTACCAGTGCACTGAGGATGGCGGCGTTGAATAAACATTCACTGTACAAGTTATAGCTATGGTGCTTCCCTTCATCACGTGAATTTCCGGAGATCCTACAATACTAGCCTGAGCATCTGCAACAATAAACACTTTTAAAAAATATTTACTACGTTCACCCTTTGGTTGCTGGTAGCTTTAAAACAGCGCGAAACTAGAACTAGGTGGGTATCATATCCCAAACTGAATAAAACGCGAATAGACTGTCGCCGGAGTTAAATTAAATAACCGCAATATAACTCCAGTATTTGTCTTCATCCGGAATCGCAGTAATTTAATTAACCTAAGTAACTGTTATTTTCCCTTTAATGCCTGAAAATTAGCGAATTCTCAGGGCGCTGAATCAATCCTGTAGCTTGCAGGGTACCCAAAGGGAGTGAACAAACAAATGGGGTTGTAATTGTGCAGTTTTCGTCAAAAAGGAATTATTTAACAATTTGTAAATAGTCTCAACTCCGAACTTGGCAGTCTGATGAGTAATTCTCCGTTTTTGCCAACTTTGCCATCAAATAAGTTGCAAACATACGTAAGTAAACAGTAGACAAATTTGCGGCTATTTATAAGGGCTTTGAGCGAATTCAGCAAAGTCGGTAGTAAATTTTATTGCAGCCACTTTTAAGCATTTATATTTAGGGTGCGGGTAAATTTAGTGGCTCTGAAGACATTACCTCGGAGCTTAAGCGAACTTGTGGGCTGGTTGTCTGCATTAAATTCCAGTTGAGATGATATAATTAGTCAGGTAAATATTCGTTTTAGTTCTGTGGGTGAATTTTTCACGAAATTTCAGCAGCTTGATTAATTGGAAAAAAATCCTAAAAACCAATAAGTCAGGGTTTAGAAATAAGAACGCAAAGTTTTGAACTTGGAAGCGGGGTTTTCCGGAAATTCGTTTTTAAGAAACTGGGCTAGATATCACAAAAAAATTCAGAAGTCGATCGATAAAGCTTCGACTAACATCCGGTGTTAAATTGGGGCCATTTGAGACTATGGGTACTTCACTATTATTGTTCAAAGTTGCGAAAATGTATGCTATTTTTATTTTCACATCGTGCCCTTCTGAAACCCGCTTAAAAAACAGTTTAGCTATGAGAGTTCGAGGTTCGGCGTTCTATCAAGGATACTGAAATTTATATGTGGTTCCACCTGATTGAATGGTTTCTTCACAATTATTTTTTTTTACTTTGGGGAGCTTTTGAGCGGCCTTTTATACTCGCATCATTTTCTTCTGAATCCAGGTTTTAAAAGAACCAGCTTAACCATCAGGGCGACAGATGTAAAAGTCAAGTACAGAAAACTTGATTTATATACGGTGTAAATGAGGTTTCAGTTCATTAATTAGTTCCCGCATTTGGAAAATTTGGAAAGTTTTGGTGTTTTTTTTTTCACTTTTACGCAACACTTTCTAGAACTATTTTTTTTCAAAACCGGTTTAGCTATCAAAACAAGGGGTTTTGTACTTGTTCAAGGAAGCTCTACTTCAAATGTTTTTTAAATGTAGTTTCTTTTCATTAACGGGTTCCTTCATAGCTACTTTTCAAAATTTGGAAAGTTTCCTGTGAATTTTTATTTCTGATCATGTTCTTCTGAAGCCGGTTTTTGAAGAATCGGATCAGTCATCAGGACGACAGTTTCTAAACTCGATAAGGAGCAAGTTTATGCGCGGTATGGAATTTTCGGAACCTCATTTTCGAAGAAAAAAAGTTTATTTATCGGACTTAGAGGCCAAGCACTTGTTCAAGGAAGCTTTAGTTTATTTAGGGTGATTCCTTTATAATTATTTTTGAAGCCTTAGAGAGCTTTTTAATCCTTACCAAAATTTGCCCTACATTTATTTTTACATCATGCTTTTCTGGAATCGTTTATGAAAAATCGGAATTAGAAAATAGATCTAGAAAGCTTCAATGTAAATACGGTCTAAAGTTGGCTTCATTTAGTTGACTGGTTCCTTTATACTTTTTTATTTTTGAAACGCTTACAAGTTTTTGCGCGGCTTGCATTTTCACATCATGTCTTTAAAACGCAGGTTATTCAAAAACCTGTTGGAGTATGGCAATAAATGTTTCAGTACTCGATAAGCAAATTTTTCATGAGTTGAGTAATTGGTGTGAATCTGGTTCCATTTGAGTTGGTTCCACTGGTTTGTGAATAATGAATTTATTAAATCAGGGAAATTTTTGTGCGGTTTTAATGTTAAAAGTTTTAGAAAAATGGTCACTGGCTCTTTGTGTCAACTATTCGGGAACTTTCAATTTAATTCTAAAATGTCGTAAAATGTTGAACATTGAATTTTCCGCAACTACTTTGTTATAAGTTAAATTCAGATGCGCAAAGTAGTGGAAGTTGCTGCCCTATTTCCGCTCCAACCACTGTAACGGAAACTCCAATTATCGCCATTTAATAATGGGAGTCTATTTCATTAATACCTGCTATAAAGGAGAATTTCGACTTCAAAGTCGTGCTTTTCTGAACTTTAAACTAGGAAATTAAACGGAGCTTTATCCCTGGCTTATCTACGTGTTAGATAATTCCTCAACTTCTAAAAAGTTTGCCGGGTTTTAACTTGACTGCGGACTAGTTTTATTGTTTGAGGAAAATTGTAAATAGTTGCCATATTACGTTGAGAATTTCCTAGTTATAAATGGGGAAGTTAAAGCTTCTGTAAAGCCATCAGGCATGAATAAAATAAAGTTTCAAATGCTCTCGTTTTTGCGCTGGAGTTTTGGCATTTTAAACAGTTTTTCTAACCGTTTCCATTGTCTAACTCCAGATCATTCCCAGAAGTTATTGATAGCTTTAGTTCAATTGGTCCTTGTGATTTTACATGGAGTTGTAAATAATGCAATTATCGAACTTTACTCAAAATGACATAATCACCGAACCCCAGCTCCCAAGTAATGGAAACTGGTTAACAGCAACGAAATTGACCTAAAGTTATGTTTAGTATGGAGGGTGCAGAGAAATGCCAAAATTACTAGCCAAACCCAATATAGCACGACGAACTTCCATAACAGTTCGATAGTGTTCGGGGATTTTATGTCTTTTGGACGTGAGTTGTTAACAAAATCATTTTCTACAGCTCCATCGATTATTATTGGCTTTGCCAGATGTCGCTATCTAATTGCAATATTGAAAGTCCAACTTGAAATTCAACTATCGATAATCCTTCTGGACCGTCCAACATTCGATACACTGATTATTCTGGAGTAGTGGTCTGTACCAGCGAGGAAATTCGGGTCTGCAACAAAAAAGCACGTGACAGAGACAGGCAGAAGAAGAAGGCAAAAACTAAATTTAAAACAATTTAAGCCAACATGCAGTAGAAGATTTCATGAAGAGTGTCAGTGACTAGCCCACACAAGCTTCGTCTTTCTCATGCAGCGTTGCTTCATAAGCTTCAGTTCAGTGGTTAAAAGGAAACCGGTTTATTTGGGGATGAAAAGGAGTAGTAAATGAAATATTTTTAGGCAAAGATTAACAGTTGAAAAGATAAAACTGAAAATTTCAGTGAAATTAAATAGATCTTATCAAAAGATCAAAGATAGACTTTTGTCTCAATTTCATGGAGAAATATTACACAGTTTGTCACGAAGTTAACATTTTCATTGATTCTTTATTTGAATGTTTGAAGATTAGTTGAAGACAGTATGGGCAACTTTGCCATTACTTCCAACCTCCCAACCAAAAAAACACTTGATTGAAAAATGTCTCTTTGTTTCAAAAATTTATGTGCGTAAACAATTCTTTTTTCATTTTGGTTTGGCGACATTTCAATTTTGTAACCACTGTGTTACAACTTCAATTATTGAAGCTTTATGCCGGTATTGCGCTACGCACTCTTTCCCATAGAGAATAAATTGGGCCAATTATTGAAGGGATAAATTGTACGATTGATCGATGAAACATGTCTTTGCTGTGTCGAGCCTTTCGGATACAAAACTATTACAAAACCAAAAGTTGCAAAAATCCTGTTAAAATAAACGTTTTGCAATTTTTCGTTTCGGGCCAGTGTCGTGCTCGAAGAGCTCGGCACAACAATGACATTAAACAATATTTTATGTATTGGTTGTGTCGAGCCTCAGATAAAAACTGTTTTAAAATGAAAATTTTCGGAAAAAACTGCGGACTGGAAATTGTCAGGCAATTTTTGTTTGCAGTGACGATTTTGGCAGCGATTCTTGAAATCCATTTACAAATCATAAGAGATGTTGAGGTGCTGTGTTGCATGCAATAAATTAAGCAAGTTAATAAAAAAAAATAGTCGCTTCTTTGGACGCATAAGAGGAAAATTTGGCTGTTGGCTCATGTGTTGATTTTACTAAAATTGAGAGACCTTCAATAATTGGCTCACTTTTTTTAAGAAAAACATTTCTGTTTATTCTGGAATTTTAACTGAACAAATTGGATTTGCTTTGAGATAGCTAGGAAACGTTCGGAAAACTTTGAAAGGAAATGGAACACAGAAAGTGAAAATTGAATGGGCAAACTGAAGAAAAACTGCGTTTAATGAGCGAAACAAAATGTAATATTGCATATAATGTTGCGCATATTAATGTAAATCACATATCACCATGGGTTAAATCTAAAAAACAGCGCTTTTGGTTAGGACGCTACAATCCACTGGCAAATTATTGCCACTTGAGCCAATTTTTTGGAAAGTTAGTAGATCACTATTTATTAATATTTCACTCTCATCAGTGGTTAACAATTCAAAATCTGTGGGTTTAAGAGGTTGAAAAATATTCAAAAGCATTGATTATCTGAGTCTTGTAAAAGCTCTGCTGGTATTTTTATACTGTCGGTCCTACATTTGAATAAACGGCTTCTTCAAGCGTCCAATGCGAAACATAGATCTTGCGCGTTATTTTCACCCAATTTGCGGTACCATCTAAATTGGCGGCCACAAATTCCCAGCGAAAAAAAGTATTCATTTACGAGCGGAGGTTGTTATCATCACAAAATAAATGGCGCTTAAGCAAAAGAAGTTACTTTCCCTCTCGAAAAACTTATTCAAGCGTACTTTGACAAATAGGGGTCAGATATAGATAGCGGCTTGTCTGATTTGTCAAAGTTGGTGGAAACTTTGCGTTATCGGCATGAAAACTAGTCGAATGGAACGGCAATTGTCGAGTTTGCGAGTGGGGATTGGGGGAGATTTGCCACCTATAATCGGTGGTGAACTGGCAGGCAACTGGAAAACGACTTACCATCCACGTTGAGCATGATGGGTAAGCTGATCTTCGGTTCAGTGTTCACTTGGCATTCATAAACGCCCGCGTCGCGCTTCTGAACATATTCTATTCTCAAATCCCAGTCGTCACTGTGTTCTGGATGTCGCACACTAAATCTTCCATCTCCTGTATAAGTGTGAATACCGGAGGTCAGGATGTGAAGGTCCCGCTTTCGCATCCAGGAAACCTGCAACAGTAACCAAAAGTTTAAAAACTTCACCTTATCAGCACCCCAAACTAGAGCTCAGTTTTAAAATAGAGTCAGTTGCATAGTTGTATTTATAATATATCGCTAAATTTATGAGTTGTAAAAAGTGATTATTAAAACGCTATGTGCTGATGCGGATGTGAAATATTCGGCAGCTCTAAGCGAATTTAATTAAACAAAATCAAACGCGATTTAACTCTGTCAGAGTTTGCAATTGTTGTCCAGCGGAAATATTGTTAATTGCTTGAACTGCCACAGACATCGACTTTGTTCAATTTGAAACTTAATCCATTCTAAAGCAAATTTGGCAGTTCAAATTGGCACTCGAGTGTGATAACTCTACATTGGCCCATTAGAGATCGGTTTGACTTTGCAAAAGCCACAAACTTCCAAACACTTAAACCATTCGGTTTAAGAGCGAACTTTGAAACGTAAATTTAATTCGTAATATGGCTCACCATTAGAATCTAATCTATTCGACTAAAAGTGCCATATATTGTTATTTTCTACAGCGTTAATATCGTTTTCGTGTTGTGCAGCCATCATTAAAGCATTAGCAAGGGGAGTGAGAACGATTTCATTTTCCGATATAGCGCAGCGACTAATGAAACCACCGAAAGTAAATCCCACTAGCGCCTCGCTTATTGTTTAAATAGAACTTCCCGATTTTCCGCAACTTTGAACTCGATTATTTAAGAGCAATGATTTAACACCCCGAAATTCTCAATTCTCTCGCTTGTTGAATATCAATTATCATTTATTCCAATAACAATTCTTCTTTAAGCCCACATTATTCAGCGTTGACACGATGTAAAGCTGTAAGATGTTAGCGGAAAACCCCGTGGCGACTGTATTACATTGCTTTATTTAATCCCTTGCAAGTCTAACAAAAGCTGTTGAGAAACTGAAGTACAGTTTGGAAACTTTACTTGTCTAACCTGTACGATCAAATGTGATCTAATTTCGTTTAAATAATAGTTGATTATTAGGAAGTTCTTGACGGCGTTTCCTCATTAACGGTGTAATTGGATTTACGAAATAATTTTGCTTGGGCGTTTATCGACTGGCTGAAGCGCAAAAATTGCCAGACTTGAGCAATTTTTTCCTATATTTGCTTAACAAACGCGAATATTCTGCTTGGTGTGGCCACATAAAGCAAAGTCAACCAGAATTTAATTACATCTATGCGTTGCTGGATGTAATTCGAAAAATATACTACGGCGCCCGTTGGAATACGAGGCATTTTTAATCCCGCAGGATCTCAAAAGGAGCTCGTTGATTATTATAAATACACCAAAGCAAACCCAGTGGAGGGTTTTATGATTGTGCCACCATGTGTGCTTTGGTTTCAGTTAGTAACATAAAAAACACAAATTGGAGATTCTAAATTAGGCAAACGTGCTTTGGAAAGGCGCAAAGAAGAGGGGAATTGAAGGGTTTGGATTAATATTCAAAGCTTCGTGGTTATTAGCAAATTTTCCTGCAGGTCACTTCTTCTATATATTTCTTCTCCCGGTGTCTTTTGAGAGGATGTTTTTATTGGAACATCTAGTTTTTCGCCGTTACTGTACAGGTTTGGAAACACCTTGAACACAAAATGTTCAAAACATTTTTACTGTTTGACTGAATGGAATTAATTTTCAAACTCCTTATTTTAACTTTCCTTTGGTAAATGCTTGCATATTATTGTTAATAACAATAAATTCCATACATTTGTCTCCATTTTAAGGCTTAGTAGCTTCACATTTTTTAATTGACCTAAATCAACTAAAGTGCTCATAATTCGTGGATAAATGGAAATACTAAGAGGTCRGCCATACAAGAAAATTTCTAATTTTAAAGAACTATTAACGACGACAGCGCACGCACGTTATACTAGGACCTGGTGTATTCAAGTTTAAACAAAGTGATGTTATCTCCATGACTTAGAGAAAACCAGCCATTTTTATATTAAATGATTTAAACCAATGAAGAAATTCTTCAAAATTTTGAAAATTGATTGCCTTTTTATATTAAAAATAAYTTTTTTTYGCTTTCTTCGATAGTTTGTGCAAAACGTAATTCTTCGAGTTCATTCAATTTTTCATCTTTACTCTTTTTGAGTTTTAATATCCTTAGATAAGTATCGAGGACAATTTGGAAAAATTGACGGTATTTCACCTGTTCGGGAATCTTGGGCTGAGGTGACCCAAATGAGGTCAGAAGGGGTTGAGAAATGAAGTTCACACACTTTAGAACTATTCATGGGATCGAAATTTTTGCGCGGACTCAAATAGAAGCGCCATTTACAATATTAGTCAATTTCATTGAAACATCAATTTATTTGCGAATCAATGGAGAATATCAAACATAACAGAATCTAAGGACTGGCCTGGATAAAAAATGAAATTGTTATAAAATACCATTTCTTTGCTAAGAGGGTAAAAGTCTTGACAGGAGAGTGCGAAGGCCAGATAAAAGGACTTTCGTCATTTTGCCATCAGCTTTTTTCTGCGTTGATGAAGGAAAATGGATTCAGGATAAAAAAAGAAGGAAAAAAGCAATTACACCAGACACGCGTTCTGTTTTAAAATGCTTCCGAATAAATAATGACGAGCAAAATGCTTTAGACGAAACAAGAAATTTGCGGCAGAGTCGTCGTTTGCACGTCACTTCTTTGGCCCAAAAATAAGTTTTCTTATCATGTTCTTGACAAAAATTTTATTGAAAACAAGTGCACATTCAATTACGTCCATGTGGGTTTTTAGGTGAAAAACTTTCAGTTATTCCTTCAACCCATCTGTGATCGAGCTTGAATGCAAAGAAAACCCATCAAGTCCTAGACGAAAACGTTTACAAAAACCTTCCAGGCACTTGAGGTTGAGTAGCTTCCAAATCGAAATACTAAAGAAAATCCTTTGAAAGCATCAAACTTCCACTAACAACTACAACACCTTTCATCTTAGTACTATTCAGCCAGATCCTTCAAAGGAAAATTTGCCACCGTTATTGTCTATGTTGTCGGTCCATCAAACAGGCTTTCCTTTATCTGGACCCCCTACGGCCTAATTTTCCTTCCAGACAAACGGTTCCCGTTTATATTTTTAATCATACATGTGGATTTCGCCAGCATTGTCCTCCCATCGAGAATAATTACGTGGCAAACAGGAGTTATTAAAACACAAAGCTGCGGATAAAAGTCCCTTACTGGCAGAGTGAATATGAATTATCGATTGCTGTTTTTCGACAAACGAATGACACGAAAAAGGAAATTTCAAAGCCTGGAATTTTTTTTCGTTTGCCTTTTAGGCAAGTTCGCTAAAGAATTAGTAAACAAAGCTTAAAGCAGGAAAAAGTGCCAATTAATTTTGTTTTCCCCAAGTTCATTGGCCCATCATTTCCCTTGCCATTGCGCGAATAATTATATAGAATTGACGGGCAAAAATTATGCCACCAATGTAGCAGGGCATTGTGTGGTCGATTCGTTAAAATAGCCAACGTATTCTCTATTGAAAGTTTTCCGATGGAATAAAATTTCAATTGCTGGCTCGCATTGTTAAACATGTAAATTAGCCTTTGGGCTCGTTTGGAATAACTGTTGCAAACCGGTATTTAATTTCTGGAATTATTTAACACTCAAATAGCCAAATCACCAATTCGAACAAGATGCAGGTCATGTTTGATGGGTCAGTTTTGCTTTAAATCGCAAAATGTTCCGGAATTTTAGCAGTAAGTTGAGATAAGAGAGTGTGAAAATCAAAAAATATTTTTCTTAGCAAAGGAAAATGAGAAACTAGCCAATTGAATCGTTAAATAGAACGAAAAGTTTAAAAATTGTTCTAAAACAAAAATTATTAAAATCTGGATTTGGATTGAAGTTTTCTGCATAAGAAACTGTTAGACAATGAAATTGACATGAATTGCATCTGTATAAGATTTACGATTAAAGCACAAAATCCGTTAATATAATTAAGCTTCTCAAACTAATTAATCCGTTGCTTATTAGTTGTCAGTAAATTACCAATTTGTTCTTAGTATGTTCGTCTTTGCCGCAGAATAAGCCCAGAGTGGCAGTTGGGTAGAGCCCGATTCGGCTGCATAGAGACCGATCGCAAATTATATTGTCTTATTTACTGCGATTTCGACATACTTTCACGAAGGATTCGGTCCAAATTCCCGATTAAAATCCAATTTGGAACGGAAAGTGATAGAGCTAACGTTACGTCTAATTTGGCAACGCTTAGAGCGCTCTAATTTATGACCGTCGAAGGAAAGCGACGGGTTTGCAATTCGAAAGTAGGAAAATTTATTTTTGCTTGTAGATTTATTATGTTGGATTGTTTCGAATGGGGAAATATGGAATTCCGTTTTAATTGTAACATTTTTTTATGTAACAGACTCCCGCAGGACTCTTTCAAAGCGCAAGTCTATATTGAACTGCATTAAATCTGTCCCCGTAGCCCTTAGATATGAGAAGAAAATTGAAACGCAAAAGTTTTTAATTTTATTTAATTTGACCCTTATTTAAAAGTCTCTTGCTGCAAGACTAAGTTTGAATCAGACCATGAAAATGGTGGGTGATACTGCCAACCAAAACGTTGTGATAAAACGTCTTTGTAAGACAGTGAAAGTATGCAAATGATCTGCTGATGCAAATATGGCAAAATTGTGCGTCTGGACAAGTTGATTCAAATTTAATGCCGTTTGCTTTAGCCTGGATGCCTCTTGTTGTCCGTTCCTATTTTGATAATAATCCTTACTCTAAATCTGGCCGGCTTATTCTTGTGTTAATTACCAAATAAATTGGGCTTGGTAAAAGCCCCCGATTAAACTGCTTTGAACTTACTTTAAGCCGAGGCTCGAAATTGAAATCGCAGCCTGAAAGGGACGAAATTTACTGACTTTAGATTAGACCAGAAATTCTAGTGTGGTGATATTAGTGGTTCGTATTTTGGGCAGATCTTGCACGAATAGTTTCGATGTGCAAACACCTATTAGTG